CTCACAAAAGCTTTTCACCTCTGGCCAACTCCAGAAGGTAGGACTTGAGAGCCCTTCCTGAGAACCATCCACCAGATCCTCAGCACTCAAGACCGTTTTGCCGTTCTGAGAGAAATCCTTCCCTATGAGTTCAGGGTCCCCAGGGCTTTCCATACCAAAGAAGACAGAACTCCCATTGATGACTTCAGCAGTTCCACACCTTGAATGCACCGCCACGTCATATAGGAAAAGCATCTTCAGAAGTAAAACACCATCCTTTTGAGCTAATTCTTGATGTGGCCAAGGAAGACTCTTTAATCCCAACCGTTCAGGCCCACAGCGTCGGCGTAATACAGGTGGACCACCGTCTTCACCTCTCAACCTTGACACTGTCCTGCACGGAGGTCCTCCAACCACAGCAACCACCTTTCCTTCAGCCGCCAGATGCAGAAGATACTTCCAGACGCTCGACTTATGTAGGTCACCGCCTTTCTTCAAATCCAGCTCCAGTACCTCCACATCCCGACTGGGAAAATGCCATTTTTGTTTTCCCGAAAATAGGTGTACCACCACCCTTTTTGCTCGTGCCAGCCGTCTCCTTTTATGACGGTTGAAAGGCAACGCCGCAATATCTCCACGTGGCAACAGCTCCATCAGCATATTTTCTGGTATATCTCCATAATACCACCGAAGAAACCGCCAGCATGCCTGGACGAACTCCTCCTCATTCGCTGACGCTGTCCGCGCTGCGCTTTGCAACGACGCTTTTACAGCCACCTCGTTGTCCGTACTCGGACACCCTTGAACCATACGTGCCACCTTCAATGCTTGTTTTGGTGAACACCAATCCATTTCATCAATGATCTGAAGCGCCACCTTCTTTTCCAAACAAGGGCACCCATTCAGATCACGAACGCGAAGTTCTCCCAGAACAGGATGTGAGGCTGTGCACTTGCCACCACGCCACTGAACTCTGAGACCAACCAAGGCGCTCGCTTTGCCAATTGGCACTAGTGGATCTACCATTTCAGGAGTTACCAGGGTCCCACCTGGAGTAATACACATCTCCCGAGATCCAACAGCTAAAGACACCAACACCTTTTGCTGCGGAAGCTGTTCACCAGGACGAAGTGATCTGAGAGGATGTGATGCTCCCGAGTCCAACATGCCCATTCCCGAACACTCATTGGTGTCAGAAACCCTGGCCACATGTAGAACGCATACTCCTCGGCCTTCTCCCTGCTTCGGCAACAACGTGGCATCAGACGAACCGACTCCACAGCCCGCCCTTCCATTCCTCCATTGAGAATGGGACAACGACGCACGCTGCCTTTCAGCATGCAAAACCATTTTCTCAGCTGTTTTGTAATCCATAACCAAACAGCCATGTTCAAACCATAAGAGTTGGTCCAGCGAAGATTTTGCACTCACGTGACACATCCCATTGATCACGGTGAGGTTCGCCCCAAACTCCAGGATCAACCAGAGAGGGATAATCAGGGGCCCATTGTCTTCCCTAATCAACGTCCCTTTCTCTGTAATCCTCATTGTCACACCACCAAGCGCGCTTTGCACCATAACAGTAGTGTCGGGTAAACGTTCCCATGGAAAAAGCGTCCGCACAAGATGCGTAGCAGCTGTATCCACCAACGCCACTCTCCCTTCCTGCTGAAATAATCCAGAGTCACATAACATTCGAACACTGGGATCTCCGCTTGATGCTGACTGCGCTGATGACAGCTTCATAGATTTCAGCACTTCTAGCGCTTCAGCAAGGACCTGATTGGTTGTTGATGGTGATGAGGGACTTGCAGAACCTTTATCCAATCCCGCATTAGCCATCTCATCTCCCACTTCAGCCACTTCTGCCTTTTTGGCATTTCCCCATTTTGCACCTTTGCCGCCCTTTCCCCCTTTGGGAGAATTCCCTTTAGATCTATTCCTTTCAGGATTTAAGTCCGCATTGGAACTTACACCATCTTTGTATGGACACTGCGGCTGTAAATGGCCAATGGCCCCACATTCAAAACATCTTCCACGCTCCAGGGAGTCCTTGTCATGGCGAAATTTGCACCGTGATCCGAACTTGCAGCCTGCTTCTGTCTTCCCATATATCCAACAGAAAGGACGTTCACCATCTCCGCTGTACCTTTTTCCTTTCCCTTTGCCTTTGTCACCCTCCTCCGTCTCGTCACCAGTTCCCTTTTGGGCCTTGTTTAACCTGGCCCTTTTCTTGGCGTCCGAGTCCTGCTTCACCTCTTGTTCACCAGCGCTATGCAATAGCAGTTCGAATTCTGCTTGTAACATTTCAGCTAGTTGTGTCGCAGTTTCAGAGGTCGGCGAGTAGTCCACCCCCAATTTCTCCCGGAAGGATGCCACTCTGAAATGCACCGTAGGGTGTTTTGCCAGCAACGCGGATGATAAAGCATCCAATCCCTTGATAAGCAAGGTAGCATCCGGCTCGGATGCTCGCAGCTCCCTTAACCGGGAACGCCATTGCGCCCATTGTCGCACTCCCTTAATAGCCTCCGAGATCGAGGTTGCTGAGGATGGTTGCACCAAGAAGTTTAACATCGTGCTGCGCTCGTTTGCTCCACCTGGTTGGTAAACTGTCAGCAACTTGTAAAATATCATCACCGACCCCAACATTCGAGTGGAAACGATCTCGGTCTTCAATCTCTCCGGAATCGCTTGTAGCAGCAAAGACACCGCTCTCTGCTCCAACAAAACATGCACAGTTCGAACCCCCTTGAGCCCTTCCAGCTCAGCCTTGATGCCCAACCTTTCCAGCGGAGAAACACTCAACCATTTGGCGTACGCCTCATACGCCTTTGTATAGACGGATTGCCACCACACTCTTCCTGTATCTGTCAGCGAAGACAACATTGGTTCGATCATTGCGATCCAATCACCTAGTGCCGTCGGATTGCTTGGTGTGTAGTCTGCCAAAGTAGGAAGGCTCATCACATGCTTCCCAAGAGCCTCCGGACGTTCAGTTCCAGAACTATCACCAATGTTTGGCATCCCACGTGGCACCACAGCTCCAGGAGGTAAGCTGACCTTTCCACCAGGCCCTTGCGGCAGTCCATGTCCCATTCCGGGCGTAAACGCTGTGAGCGGAACCTTCTCTAATTCCAACTTCCCAGCAATCATTTTCCACCGATATGGAACATCATCCACCATTGTATATCCACCCGATCCTGCTGAGTTCTCTTGCATTGAAGTTTCCCGAGCTGAGACAAAACCGGGCTGATTTCCCAACAGTGCGGCAGAACCATCAACGCCTGACGGCAAGGAAGTAATCGGAACATGTGTTAAACCAGGTGGTCCACTTGCATATCCACCACTTGCAGAACCTCCCATGGGGTAATTCAATGGAGGCAATCTGGAGGGTTTCTTCCCTTCAGTTACGTGCATCATTGGCACTTCCTTCTCATCCTCCACGTGAACCTCCCCTTTCCTGGGCTCAGGCAAGGGTTGAAGGTCACAACCCTTTGGAAGGTCGTAGCCCTCAATCGGCAGCCATGTCCCATCAGGCAACACAGTCCAGAAGCCACCCATACCATCAGTGTAGAAAACTTGTCCTGGCAGGCACTGCTTCTCTGGAGTCATTCCCAACGGATATGCAGCATTTGCGTCCACCACTCCAGCGCTCCGTGCTCTCGAAGCTGACCCAGATGCAGCAGAGGTATAGCTTTTCTCCTCCACCCGATGCAATCTGTTCCCCAGCTCCTTTGTTTGCACAAGCAACTCTTTCAGCGCACGCTTTACCACCGCCATATCTTCACCTTGTTCTTCACCACTCAGATCAGGAATAAGCTCTTCCTCGCCTTGTGTCTCACCAATATTCCCTCTTTCCATCTGGCCCATCAAACCTGAAGATGGCCTCTCAGCTGGAACAGGTTCCCGATCCCGAAGTTCTGGCAACGACGGTGGCCTTCTTGTTTCTTCACCACTCCTATCCCCTCCGCTCGCAGGGAGACTTGCTGGCCTTGATTGCCTCAGTCTCATTTCTTCATGAGCCCGCTCGCTCCAGAAAGGATTCGCTGCTGGAACCGGAACCACTTCGTTTTCCACCTGAGACGTTGGTTGTATCATTGCAACCTCCCTACCATCTGTCAGCGCTTGTACCATTTGTTGTCGTTCTTCACCCCCATCACCACGATTTTCTTCGGCATCATTGGCCGCCGATAATGGTCCAGGTTCAGATCGACGCCGCATCATATCCATGGCACCAAACAAAGATAAAATCTTAACCAACCCACAGGGAGCCTAATTTGGGCTCATAACCTACGGGGGGCAACCGAAGGGGGACGAGAAACCAAACAGTCAACCCCAACAGAAACCCTTGATTTCCCTGGACCAACCACACAACAAACCCAAACCGCAGGGCACTCACCTTTTACTACCAGGCACATGGCCCAGTCTTGAGCCATACATGATTTCCGGGTTTATTAACCCTTTCAACTCCCAACACTAACTCTTTTCTACAATACCAGTTGCAGCTCCGCATAGGGTTTAGGGTCTCTACTTGGGTTCAGGGTTTAGGGTTAATAGGGTTAGTAGGGCTACTAGGGTAATAGGGTTTAGGTTCATGGTGCTTATATAGTACCAGCTTGTAACTGTACTTATAACCCAGTTGACCAGCCCCTCGAAGGCTGTCGTTGGTGATGAAAGACGCAGGGAATGGAGTGTAGCAGAGCATCATGTGTCGCAAGACATCATTCTGCTTCATGACCACCGTTTCCTCGAGTCGAGGTCGTACTGACACGTGCAGTTCTGGTAGACCGACGTCTCCGTCACCAAGGCCTCCATGTCGCAGGCATCCATAGGGTTTAGGGTTTAGGGTTTAGGGTTTAGGGTTTAGGGTTTAGGGTTTAGGGTTTAGGGTTTAGGGTTTAGGGTTTAGGGTTTAGGGTTTAGAGCTAAGGGCTTAGGGCTTAGGGCTTAGGGTTTGGGGCTTAGGGTTTGGGGTTTAGGGGCCCTAACCAAAACCCTTACATTCCCCAAACTCTGAACACCTAGACCCCGAATCCCGAAAAATCTTCGGGGTCCAAGACGATCAGCACATCGTCTCCAAGCACCCGGCACTTTTCTTCGTGGGTCTCGTGGCAAGGGCAGGTCCTTATAGGCCGCTTTTTTTTGAGGGGTTCAGGGTTGGGGTTGCTTTGTGGGGTGATTGTTGACAAGGATTTAGGTGGTCTTGCAATTCTTGAAGGTTCATAAGAAAGGCTTCGGGTTTTGGGTTCTGGGGGCGTTTTGACCTAGCTTGAACCCTGCTTGGGTTTCGAGAGCCCGTTGCGTGCACGTTTTTGCCTGCCTGGAGGTGTAAAACTCGTGTGACACCCTAAGATCTTCTAAGCCCATACTGAGGAGCGCATAAGATGGACTCCTGAAATCACTCCTGACAAGAACTAAGGGTTCAGGGTTCCAGGGCTCAAAGGGGCCTAAGAAAGGTCCGGGTTGGCTAATGTGTATATATATATATATGTATATGTATGTATATATATATGACATACTATGCTGCAAAACATGCTATATTTTCAAAATAGAATATGATATATGTTTGTTGTATTATTGCTATTGTTATTTTTATTGTTACTATTATGGCTCTTTTGAAAAAGGAGAAGCTGGGGACGCCGCTCGTTGATCGGGTGGCAGGTCTGGTTGTGAGGCAGCATCCAGTCAGGATGGCCTTTTCGAGGAGGCTTTTACCCTAAACCCTAAACCCCAAACCCTAAACCCTAGGGTTTAGGGTTTGCTCCCAAAAATATTGGCTTCATGAAGGCAAAAATTTTCTGAACCCTGAACCCTAAACCCTGCACCAGGAAGCCCCAACACACCCCCTTAGTGAAGGAATAGATCTCAATCTACCTGAGATACGGAAGGTACTTTAGATGGGCATTTCCCAAATAGGGGTACCCCGTTTACTCCCCATATAGAATACAATCCCCTTAAGGGGACCCCCAAACAGGGTACCTCTACGGAAACCCCCAGATGCTGATGATCGTAATGCTCATTTGCCTGTACGGAAGCCGAGTCAACGGACACAAACGGCAAGACGCGCGCGCGATGTGGATGGCGGCATGAATATCAGTGCCTCAAGCCCCAAACCCAAAACCCTTAAATCCCGAAACCCCAAACCCCCAAAAATCCTTTAAACATCTCTAAATTCCCTAAACCCCAAGCCCCAAAATCCCTCAATATTCTCAAAAACTCCCTAAATTCGCGAAGAGGGAGCTGGTCTGAGCTTCGAGCCATCCGCTCCGTAGGGCGTCAGCCAACACTCCTCTCCGCTGGGCCAGAAAAAGGACGGGTTTGGGGATGAGGGGTTTGATCTAGGGCGTCTTTTGGGGGTTTGTTCAGGTTTAGGGATTTTTTTAGGGTTTAGGCGTCTTTTGGGCGTCTTTTAGGGGTCTTAGGGTTTAGGGGCCTTTCATAAGGGAGCAGTCGCAAGGTCTCATCTTTAGGGTTCGGATTCAGGGTTTAGGGTTCAGGGTTTAGGGTTTTAGGGTTTTAGGGTTCGCTTTGAGCTTGTGGGATGGGGAGTTAGTAGTAGAGCGTCTAGGGCTTCTTGGTGCCTTCGGCCCTCAAAACCCCGAAACATCCTCCTGAGCGTCCCTCAATTCCTTCAGACCCGATGAAAACCCTAGAGCTCCAAAAGCAAAAACCTTAAGTTTAGGGTTTAAGGCTTCGGGCCCGGGGCTTGGGGTGTAGGGTTTAGGCCCCCTAGATCAGCCCGCGTGAAATAGCACCCCTTACAATCCTGACTACTAAAACGCAGCGGGTGCTTGCCTGCTCGTTGTTCCCGCAAACGACTGGGCAGGGGCTCGTCTTCGATTGGCACCAGCTGTAGCCTGGCATCAAGGGTTTAGGGTTTAGGGCTTAGGGTTTAGGGTTTAGGGTTTAGGGTTCAGGGTTCAGGGTTCAGGGTTCAGGGTTCAGGGTTCAGGGTTCAGGGTTCAGGGTTCAGGGTTCAGGGTTCAGGGTTTAGGGTTTAGGGTTTAGGGTTTAGTGTTTAGGGTTTAGGGTCTAGGGATTGTCAGGGTTCAGGGTTTACAGACTTTAGGGCTCAGGGGCTTGTAAAGTCTTGGGGTCTTGGGGTCTTGAAAATTTTGGGCTTAGCGTTAGGCATTAGCATTTTCGAAGACCGACAGCACGACTCAAGTGTACTGAGGCTGTGAGACTTCGAGATAGTACCCTTCAAGCCCCCAACCCAAAAGCAAGCAATAAAAACACTGCCGGCTTTGACGGAGGCTCTGCCATGTCACAAGCACGAAGCTACCGCCCTCTTACACCCTAAACCCGAAACACCCTAAACCCTAAACCCCCTAAAAGAACCGCAGATCGCATAAAAGCCGCTAGATAAACCCTAAACCCCAAAACCCAGATCTGCCTCCTGTGAGGCGTCCCAACCAGAGACGTCAAGAGAGCACCAGAGAGCTTTGTCAAGAACCTCACCTACCCGGTGCTCGACAGTCAGACTTTCCAGGTTCTTCCGCAGCACCTTGTCAGCGGCGCGATGATCGCTGCTGCCCCCAGCAGGTCTTGGAGGGGCCTGTGCCCAACGATGTTCCAGCCTGCCTTCGAGAGTTGGAAACTCCACCGAACGAGCTTTGTCACTTTGGCTATCACTGCGAAGTCCGGCTCTGTTGCCGGTCGCGAAGACCTCGGTGGGTGTTCTGTGCGCCTCTGCACGTGCACTTGCTGCGGCGTAGGGAAGGGCAGGTCTTACCGCTCAAGCAGCACCCAAAAAAGCCCTCTTGCGTTTGGGGTTGAGGTTTTACGGCTTAGGGTTTGGGTGCAAAGCACCTCAACCCAAAACATAAAGCCCCTACAAACTCTAGCCACAGGCTTGCTCACAAAAGAGCTTATGTATTAATATATGTATTTAGGTATTTATGCTTGTACCTTAAAAAAAGTTTGCAAATAAAAGATACGTATACGTGTGTATGTAGAAGTACAACTAGTGCAAGAGCACGTCGGGCCCGTGCGCCAGTGACCCCTCATCACATGGTTTAGTCCTATGCAGAGGCCCTGCACCCCCAAACCGTACACCCTAAACCCTAAAGTAGGGCCCCAAAAAAGCACATAAGCAAAAATTAGGGTAGGGATATCCCATATAAACCCCCTTAGAATGAAGCCCTATAAGGTAGGGATATCCCTATAAAATGCTTATGCTTGTGTCCTTTTTGGGGCCCTAATAAAGCGCACAAACCCTAGGTCCCATAAACGCTCAAATGCCCACATGCCAGCGAGCACCCCACTGATCCGCGCACTTGTTCTCGAACCTGGGGTGCGGCGCTTTGGGTTGCAATTGGATTTGGGGGCTTTTCGGGGTTTAGGGCTGCTGTGTCTCTTCTTTTTTTGTTGACCTGTTTTGGGGGGTGTTTGGGGCGTTTGGCGAGTTTGAACCTTCATGACATAATCCTCAGTATCCTGAGAACTTTGAAACGACTTCGGAGACAGAGCGTAAATCGGAGGGCAGAGGGGGGGGGTGAACCATAAACAACCCAAGCCTCAAAGCCCCCAAACCCCAAACAATCGATCATCGGAAAGCTCTCCCCTGCCCTATTTTTACTATCAAGGCTTGGAAGCTCAGAATTGTACTAAACCCTAAACTTGGGATGTTCCCCGTTGTACTAACAGTCTTGAATGGAGATTATCATAGGGGGTACTATCATCCCCATTCAGGACTGTTTGTATAAGGGGGTGAACATCCCAACCCCAAACCCTAAACCCAGCTAGAAACCAGCAAGCTCACAAACCCGGAGTTGGAGGCTAGAGCCCCGTGCCCACATTTTTTTTGGCTGGTTCTTAGTAGGGAAGGAGGGAACGAGGGCCCTATACATACATACCCTTTAAAGGATCATATTAGGGCGTATGTATAGGGCCCTCATTCCCTCATTCCCTTTTTAAGAACCAGCCAGCTTTTTGGGCCACGGTGCTGAGCGTCGCAGGGGCAGCCCGTGGCCATCGGTGCGCAGAACTCCTGGTAGTCCTTGCATGGCGCGTACGATGTCGGAGTAGTTCAGGGCTCTTCTTAAAAAATGAGGGAACTAGGGGCCCGAAATCATTCCTTAAAGGGTATTTTTAGGGTAGCTCATTTCCTCATTCCCTAGTGAGAATCAGCCAGGGGTTCAGGATTCGGGGTTCAAGATTTAGGGACAAGTACGCAATGAACTTCGGTGCTGTTAGAACGGTTGATGACATGGGATGATCTTGGAACTGATCTACACAAAGTTTCTAGACAAAACAGTTCCAGAAGAAGTGCTTAAGGATAAGTTTCGTGATTGTTTTATGGAACACGGTGAAGCATCCAACATTATTGCACGGACTTGCGACATCGTAAACAGGCCAGAACCCAACATTTTTGAACAGAAGCTGTACAGCAGCGGTGGGAAAACAGCGAAAATCACGAGCTGAGCTTAATGACATGTATGCGTGCGAGAAATATCTTGATGCAAGATTGCCACATATGCCAACAAAGCAGTGGGAGAAGAAACAAAGCCACTGCCCAAGTGCTGTACAGCTACAGTCATGATCTGACTAACAACGCGATGTTTACAAATATCTCGATGTTTACTTCAACCGTGCTGGAGCTTATGTCGCAAGATGGTATAGCAGGCAGTATAGGGAGAAAAAAACCACTTGGTCGGGTGGCTGGAATCCGACCCCAGCAAAACACTAGACCTACAAAACCCTATGCACAGCTACTACATAACCCGACCCAACTCCCCACCACCAATGGGCCCAAACCTGGTCTACGAAGGCAACCCTGAACCCAAAAACATCGGTGGTTCAGAGAACCATGATCCTACCCAACACGGGAAGATGGCAAGGGCCTAACCCCCAAAAAAACCAACGCAAACCAACACTCGAACGTTAAATATCGTTTAGCCCTACCAAGAACCATGGTTGGCTTTCCAGCTGAGTCCATGAGAACCAGCAAGTTCTGAGTCCGCGGCGGAGTAGTTCTGATTCCCGAACCTGGGCTTTGAGGGCTTTGCGTGTTTGCTTTTATTGTGGGGGAAGGCGGAGGGTTCAGGGTTTAGGGCTTGGCGAGTTTGAACATGTATCTGAGAGATTTGAGCTCTGGCTTCATGTGTTGTGGAGTGGTGGAGGTTCATGGGCAGTCATAAGCAGGGATATGCATTCATGCGCAAACTTTGTTTGGGGGGGATGGTGACTACAAAGATACGCTGCCTCCAACCGTACTTATAGCTGCTAGCTATCAGCCATGAAGTCACGTAGAAGTAGGAGGTTTTTGGAAAGTTGACGGGGATTCAGCTGTTGACCATGCACTCTTCATCATCAGTGCTCGAAGCCGAAGAGAACCATCACAACAAACTCAAGACCCCAAACTAGGTTGGCCCTTCAAGTATGTCAAACCCTTAACCCAAGAAAAAGGAAATACAAACATCCCCACAAGCCTACCCAGCAAACCCGAAACCACGGATTGCCGTGGGCCGAGGCGCACTCTTTAGGGGTCAGAGTAGTAGTAGTAGTAGTAGTAGTAGTAGTAGTAGTAGTAGTAGTAGTAGTAGTAGTAGTAGTAGTAGTAGTAGTAGTAGTAGTAGTAGTAGTAGTCGTAGTAGTAGTAGTAGTAGTAGTAGTAGTAGTAGTAGTAGTAGTAGTAGTAGTAGTAGAAGTAGTAGTAGAGGACTTAGAGGGCTTAGAGGGCTTAGGGCCCAAACTTTGAGTGAATGTCACGTGCCGAGTCACCTGCCGGCTGGACGCTCGACTGGCTGCGGCGAGTTTTTGTTTGCGACTGCACGTTCTGTTCGCTGCAGCCAGTGGAAGTTGAAGCCCAAGCAGTTGCGAACTTTACGGAAAGCTGCAGGCGCCAAAAAGCCTGCAGCCAAGTTCAGTGGCAAAGGCAGGAGCTGCCGTGTCGTGTTGTCGGAGGCGATATCCGATTCACCGGTGCGCAGTTTTGCTAGGACACCACAAAAAACCCGCTGAGATGAATCATTGCTTTGGGCCGCATGGCTCCTCGCCAAGCTCTTTGCACTCGCCAGGCCGGAGAGTGCTGGAGGCGGTGTGAACTTACTGACTTGATCGCACCGGCCATGTCGGTTGCGATGCCTGCAGGTGTTTGAAACGCTGCCTGCTTTTGTCCGCCACGTGGAGCTTTCCGTGAAAGCTACAACATGTAGCATTCTTGCGCGCGGCTACTGTGTGGAGCAAGTGGATACTGCATCGACACCTACAGTGTTTTCATCCTCCCCCCCACCCCCTCCCCCCAACCAAATGCGTGCGCGATAATGTTGGACTCGCTTTAGTACGTAGGGGCCCCCCCCCCCCCCCCCCCCCCCCAAACAATTTTGGGGTTTTCGGGGATCCTGAATAGTGTGGGCTGGGGCTGGGACGGGGCTGGGGGTAGGGCGGCTAGGGGTCGAGGGTTGAGGGGAAGCCTTGAAGCTTGAGGGTCTAAGCTTTCCAGGCTTTGTAGCTCCACGGTCGCCGGGGCTCCGCATAAATGCGGACCACCGAAACAACTTGCTAAAGCGAATCAGGGCAGCTCGTGGGCTACTCCCTTGGAAAACTGTTTGGGGGCCTGTTTCGTAATGAAATTTTGAAAAGAATTTAAATAAGGCTGGACACCAAAAAAACCGGAGTTTCTTATTCAAAACTGTTTTTAGTTTTTGGCTCCCCGGCCCCCCGCCCTTCAACCCCGGCCGGCAAACATCGCATAATTGAGGACCACCCTAAACAATGGGGGGTCCCCTATAGGATTTCCGGAACATCGCATAATAGTGCCCCTTCTCACTAAAGCCAGTCCAACATTACCACGCGCCTCGACGGTTGTTCTGGGACCTTCAGGAATGGCCGTGGCATGCTCCCAGCATACTCCCAGCATACGGTCTAGAACCCAACGGTTCGGATGCTGAGGGTCTCAGGTTGTGGCAGCCCACCCCAAACCTCTTTCGAGCAAGCCGCGAGTCGTAGCCATACGTGAAGCACTGCGTCTCGTTGCCTGGCAGAGGTCAGGGCGGTTTGGGGTTGAGGGTTTAGGGTACCAAGTGGCGAAGGAGAACCATTGTGTATTTTGTACATATACATATGTACATATGTACATACATACTGTGAGCAGGTCTATGCACGCACGCTGCATGTGCAAAGCTGCCAGGGCCAGTACTGTAGTAGTTTTCCTTTGCATGCGTAGTTTTGCAATTCGTAACAATGCCAATGTTTTGGCTCAAGTACCGAGCTTGTGCCTTTGAGCACGGTAGTGTCGTACAGTAGCTCTTAGGTTGCTGTGCGGTCCGACCGGACGCACTCAGGCGTAGCTGCACAAGTGCTTGAACTCGCGAAGTCGTAAAACAGCGTGACCGGGCTGTGATTGCATTGGCTTAGTGCAAGTCCAGTGCTGGTCGACTTCACAATTGGGGGCTGTTCTGGGAAACGTACAGCTCTTGTGCCTACGGCCCGAGTGGGCAAGCATTGCTTTGCTTGTCTGTCGCGGTCCGTGACCTGGACGCGTGGACTGTGTGCCACGCTTGCGGCCTGTTAACCAAGGCGCGGCGCTTCGTGTGCCACGCCTGCGGCCTGCTAACCAAGGCGCGGCGATGTCCGCAGAGGTTGCAGGTCAGGCCGAGGGCGTCACCCTCCTCGAAGCGATCGAGGGTGGTGACGTTCCCTATCCCGAGCGGATGAGCTACGTCGCTTGGCTTAAGTGGCGTAGGGAGACCGGCAGTCGTCCGTTGTCCAAGCGGGATGGGGTTAGCACAACGCCAGAGCAGGAGGCGGCTCTCTGGCGAAAGGTCATGAAGTTCCTCCACGACGCCGAAGGCGAGGACGAGGAGGAAGAGGAAGAAGAAGAGGACTCCGAGCTAGTCCCTGAGGCCTCGGGCGCTGGAGGCGACAGTCCGCCGCGGGTGGACGTCAGCGCCGCGGCTAGGGAGCTGGCCATGGTCCCTACCGGTGCTGCCTATGTCCCTGCTACGGCACCAGGGTCCCGCCCGGCGGGACCGTCCGGTCCGCCGTCGACAGCAGGTTCAGTGCCAGGCACCGCAGAGGGCTTGCAGGCGGAGCTGCGCGCGATTTTCCGTCCAGACCAAGAACCGGTCGCGGACTACTTGACGCGCGTTTCGCGGATTGTCCTCGCGCTGGGGGCGCGTGGAGTCACGGTGAGCTCCCGTGACCTTGACGCCTTAAGCACCAAAGCCACCCTCCTAGTACGCCCGGGGCGCTTTCGCCGCGGGCATTGTTGCCGCGCTCCAACCCCGCCCAAGCACAAGCTGGATCCCAGCTTTCCCGTGCGGGTCGGCCCGGCCGCCGCCGAGTGTTCCGCTTCCGCCGCGGACCCCCTTTTTCCTGGGTCGCGGGCTCCTCAATCGGTTGATGCACGCCCTCAACGGGAACATCAACGGCTGGTGGGGCCTGGCGGCTGCAGCGTCGGCGCCGATTGCCTTGCAGTTGCACCGCGGGGTTGTGCATGTTGTCGAGGACTCCATGCACGCGGTTGCAACGGTTTCGGCCGACGTTGTCGAGGAAATCGGCCATGGGGCCAGGCGGACCGTGTGGGTCGCCGGAACAGCCATCACTCTGGTAGTAGTGATCTTGTGCGGTGCTGTTCTGTGGTACGTGAGTCGTGCCGTTGCCAATCGCATTGCGCATATGCGACATGGCAACACCGTGGCCCCCGAGGCGCGGCTGTCTCAGCTCCTTGGCTCCGAAGCGACGTTTGAGGTCGCGAGCTCCAAGAAAGAGGTGACCCATAAGGTTTGGGTGCACCTCAAGGAGGAGACAGCTGCCTGTGGCTGTCGTGCTTACCTGGCAGAAGGACGCTGCGGGCATTGCGATGCCGCAATGGACACCGCTCGTTCCTTAGGGTTTTTGCACGCGGCCCAGCGAGGCGCGGGTCCTGCGCTCACAGACTCCATTCGGAGTACCGCCTCCGATGCCCTAGCTAAGGGTAAGGTGGTGTTGGGTTTGGGGAACAGTGAAGGGTGTTTCTCCCAACTCGCGGCCAAGAGCCGCGGGCTCTCCTGCTTTCAGGGGCTCGCGGGTCGTGACCTGGCCGCGGCCCCAGCAAATGGAGCGAGCGCAGCCCACGCACAGTCCGGCTCCGTGCAACGTGCCGCCACTGCCACTGTGGCGCGCACGCCAGGCCGGAGGAACAAGGGCCCAGCCCCCGCTAGGAGTTCTCCAGTCAAAGAAGCGGAATTCCTTGCGGGCGGGCCATACATTCAGGCCGCCCAAACGCTGCTTGGGTCTGGAGCAGCAGAGGATGTGATCTACATCCGGGCTTACAGCTTAGATTGCCCATCCTGCATCGAGGCAATCGAAGCGTCGCTTGGCAAGGGCGCAAGCGTTCGGATTGTCGCCGACATGGGACAATGCCACCGCACCAAGCTCAGTGGCAAGCGTTGAAACGCTTGGCGGCCGCAGGTGCCGAGGTGAAGGTGGGTTGCGGCACATCCTTGCGCGACGCCTACGCTCGCGACGGCCGCGGGGCTAAGGTAGGCAGCGGGATTCAAGGGCTGCACCATGCCAAGGCCCTTTGCCTACTGCGGCCTGACGGCGCGGTGGTGCTGATTGGGAGCCTCAATTTTACCACAAGCAGCAAAGCCAATGCGGAGGCAGGGCTTAAGCTTGAGGTCCCCAAGACGCACCCTGTCGCGCAGTCCTACGTCGAGGATTTCCAGAGGGTGTCGGCTGAGGCATTCTCCCTCGATGAGGCGGTTGCGAAGCGCCCTCAGTTGGAGCGAGCCAGTAGCTCCAACGTTGCTGGCAACGCCACTCGTGCCCCCAACACTGCTCCACAGGGTATCGAGTAGGCTGCGGCCAGTTGGCGCGGCGTGGTATGCATCCACGCATTATCAGAGCAGGCGTTGCAGCACGGCACGTTGCTTCGCCAACCTTTTGCACTTTCTTTTGCGTGACTGCGGGCGAAAAGCCGCGGCAGGTTGGAAGCCTGCCCATTTTGCATTCCCCGCACTTTTCTTCTCCGCCCTGCCTGTGGCCCCTCTTGTCGAGGGTGCTCTTTTGCAGGTGCTGCGGACCGTGTCCTGGTCGCGGCAGTGCGCTCGCCGAAGCGCGTGCGAGTTGCACTGGCTGCGGCACAAGCGATGTGCGCGGCTCTCGCTGAGTCCGGTAGCCCGTAGGGTAGTTCTGGATAGGTGAGTAGCCGTAGCCGTAGCTTAGGGCCGGTAGTTTGTACAGTGTACCATTTGTACCATAGTCTGCGTACTGGCAGCTAGAGACCAGCTCGAGGATTCAAGAGCCTCGCCCACCAGCAAAAGGGTGAGGACCTCCAGGGAAAGGGCTGTTTAGGGCTGCTGAGGGTTGCTGTCGTCGTGCGTTCGTTGTGGTGGTGCGGGCTAGCGTCCCTGCCGCATGCCAATGCTCATGATGTGCGGACCACCGCGGTCGCACGCGACACCCTCTCCCTTCCCTTTCTGTGTTCAGCGCGAGTGCCTGCTGCACTCCGAGCTCGAGATGAGCTGGAAGCCTCGGCTGAGGGGCGAATGTGAGCAGGTCTATGCACGCACGCTGCATGTGCAAAGCTGCCAGGGCCAGTACTGTAGTAGTTTTCCTTTGCATGCGTAGTTTTGCAATTCGTAACAATGCCAATGTTTTGGCTCAAGTACCGAGCTTGTGCCTTTGAGCACGGTAGTTTCGTACAGTAGCTCTTAGGTTGCTGTGCGGTCCGACCGGACGCACTCAGGCGTAGCGCACAAGTGCTTGAACTCGCGAAGTCGTAAAACAGCGTGACCGGGCTGTGATTGCATTGGCTTAGTGCAAGTCCAGTGCTGGTCGACTTCACAATACATACATACATACATGCATACATACATACATATATATACACACATATTTAAACATGTATGTCTATACACACTCTATATCTATATCTATACATATGTGACAGTTTGGGGTCGGCTTGCCTTCCTGTGGGTCTAGGGTTCAGATGGGCTCTCGGGCTTTGGGTTAGAGTGCTCTCTTTCTTTCTCTCTCTCTCTCTCTCTCTCTCTCTCTCTCTCTCTCTCTCTCTGCAAATCTCTCTCTTGCATTTCTAAAAACTCCAAGCGAACCCGCCGGCACTTCCCTAAACCCTGTTGTGTGTGTTTAGGGTTCCAGGGACACAAGGGCTCAGAAAAAAAGGTGACTCCAACCTTCACGCTAGAAGCCCCCCGGTGCTCTCTTATTGGATTCTTTCGGCCCAGCTGCTGGTGCAGTAGAGAGGGCAGGGGCCCCAGGACGTCTCCCAGCAGAAGGCGCTGAACTCATCCTGCTGCAAGAGGCTTGCCGCCGACACTGCACTTCTAGGGCTTTTGGTGGCACTTGGTTGCTGAGAATTGAGGGGCCTTTTGGGGCTTACAGGCTCTGCAGTTCACAGAGGGTTTACTTGCAGGATTTGTGAGGGCTCCATCGCTTCTACAATGATACATAGGACCTCTAGGTGTAGGTGGGGGCAGGGTTGAAGAGTCTTTAGGGGCCTAGCGGGACCTGGACCCCAAATCCCGCGAGGCTCAAGGAAGACGCCCCAAACCCTGCAAGCCAAACCAGGCCCGAAACCCTGAACTCGACATAAACCCTCAACGCAAGCACGAGACCTGAGGGGGGGGTCTACTGCTGAGTTTGTTAGGGTTGTGAAGAGGTTCGGCTGTTGTTGTCAATTTTCGTGTAGCTTTAGGGCTTGGGATGCGGGCTTGTGCCAGGATCTAGCGTCCACGAGGGGGGGGGGGCTCTCCTGGCACTTCTGCTGCCCAGCCCCGCAGTCGACGTCGAAGGGATCGTAGCCTTGAGCTTAGGTCTTTTGCTCACCCTCAGCCGAACCCGAAATCGGGGGGGAGAGGGAGGTATGTCACCTTAAGGTCGGAGTTTTGGGGGGAAGGCGCCGGAGCCCAAAACTCCTTTGAGGCGTTTCGGTGGCTGGCTTGCTGGAGGCTGCTTCTCTTTGGGCGCACTGGCGCTTTTGCGGGGTTTCGGCGGCGGCGGTCCTTGTGTTGGGGTTGCCGAGGTTAGGGAGGATTCTCCGCTCATCTTGCTCTCTCGGGGCCTCTCAGACAGGTGGACGAGTAAGGGGTACGGTTACAGGTCCAGAGTTTCAGGTCTCGATCGCCCTGCAGCCCAACCAAGAACCCCAAACACCTGAACCTAGGCTGTTCTCCTCTTACAGGAAAATACCTCTGCCACAACAAGTAAGTTTGCAATCGGAGTAGCTAAACCGTACAAACAATCCAAAGCTAACTCGCCAAAACACCCCTAAACCTTAAACACCAAACCCTGTACCAACAATAACAACCCTAAACCCTGAACTCTCAATCCCCTCTGAAAAAGATGCCTCAATACAAGCTTCTTAAACCCGGGATTGGGGTAGGGTTTGGGGTTGAGGAACTGCTAAAATCAAACCCGGGAGTCCTTACCTCATCCAAGAGATGTTCTGTACCCAAACCACCCAAACCCGAAACAGTAAAAACCCTATAAGCCCTTAGACCCCCCCCCCCCTCCCACCATATCATCTAAACCCTAAACCCTAAACCCTAAACCCTAAACCCCAAAGCCTGAAACCCGAAGCAAGAGTCAGCAAGAGCTCCTAAAACCCCACAACCCCACCCAAACACACACCCTACAACCCTAAACCCTAAACCCTAAACCACACATACCCCTAAATCCTAGACCCAAAAACACCTAAACCCAAAAACCCTAAACCAACAAAAAAACTTGAACCCTAAACCACACTGTACCCCAAAATCCGAAACCCTGAACCATGAAGCTTGCGCGCAACGACTTGGATCTCCAAGCCAAGTCGCAACCAACGGTCTTCGGCGTGCAGTACTTGGAGCCCCAACCTCCCAATTCCAGGACTGGCTTAGGGCTCTGGGTTTTTGGGTTTGGGGGCTTAGGGGTTTAGGGTTCAGGGCTTAGGGGCTTACAGAGGTTGTACTTTAGTGGTTGCCACCCATCGCCCCGCCCCCAAACCGATCCCCAAACATTGGGTTGACGAAGTCAAAAGGGGCCTTGGAGCTCACTAGCAAACATGCCTACTATCGGTATTAGCAACCAGAATACCAAGAATTCCCAAAAAAAGAGCAGGAAGAATGCTACTCAGTAGAACAAGACGAAGAATGGGATTAACAGCAAAACAATCATGCGTTCACTATTGGTGATATTTTGTCAGAGTTAGGGGATGCGGGTGTCGGAGTCAGGGCGACACAGTGCCACCACCATTGAAAATCTCCAGCTAGCAGCTGGAGGCAGAGCTCCCTTGAACCCAATTAAGCAACCCTAAACCTGTAACCTCCAAGTAGTCTATAAAGGAGTTAGGGTTTAGGGTTCAGGGTTCAGGGTTCAGGGTTTAGGGTTTAGGGTTCAGGGTTCAGGGTTCAGGGTTCAGGGTTCAGGGTTCAGGGTTCAGGGTTCAGGGTTCAGGGTTCAGGGTTCAGGGTTTAGGGTTTAGGGTTTAGGGTTTAGGGTTTTCGTCACTTTGGCAGCTCCTGCTGCAAGGAGAAAAGTCAGGAAAAGGCACCGGAGGTCACTCAGAATCCCAAACCCGTAAACCTTGAACACTCAAATCCCTAAACCCTAAACCCTAAACCCTAAACCCTGAACCCTAAACAGGGGCCTGAATAAGTCGAATAGGGTTTTGGGGGTTATTATGGTACATTTATATATAGGGACCATGAGGGAATCCTATTCGTAATTCTTCCGACCCCCGATATAGTGTTGCCTCGTGAGGTCTGGACTTGAGGTTGTCGCAGGTTGGGCTTCAAGAAGGTTCTCGTTAGAATGGTTCTTTCAGAGGCGGTTGTGTGTGTGGGCTGGCAGCGAATGGAAAGTTTAGGGTTTTGGGTTTTAGGGTTCTAGGGTTCTAGGGTTCTAGGGCTCTAGGGTTCTAGGGCTCTAGGGTTCTAGGGTTCTAGGGTTCTAGGGTTCTAGGGTTCTAGGGTTCTAGGGTTCTAGGGTTCTAGGGTTCTAGGGTTCTAGGGGTTCTAGGGTTCTAGGGTTCTAGGGTTTTGGGGTTCAGAATTTTAGGGTTTTAGGCTTGAGGGGGTAAATGGACCCTGAATCTTAGATTCGACGAATTCCTGAACTCCCGAGGGCAGGGCTGTCGCACTGGACCTCCCACTGGTCGTTGCAGGGGCAGCCTCTCTTTGTGGGGTTTAGGGCTTTGTTCCTGCGTAGGACCCGCTGAAACCCAATAAGGGAAGATACAGAGACTAGACCACAGGGGGGAGGGGAGCCCTGCAACCCTAACAATGTAGGGCTCAGGGCTCAAGAATTGGGTTTCGGGGCTTGAGCTTCTGGGCCAAGGTGCCGCCCTAAACCCCCCCTCATCGAAGCCCAAAGCCCAAAGCCCCAAACCCCCTATATAGAAACCTAAAAACCTATGAAGCCTATAAAAGCCCGAAACCAAAGATGCCTTTTCAATGGTTTAGGCCTTGCAAAGGTTCTTGGGCTTCAAAGAATCATCATCCGGGGATTTCAAGATGCAGCAACAATCTTGGTTTGCCCTTCTTGGAGGAGATCCTCTTATGAACTGTACATCCAAGAGGGACCTAGGGTCTCGAAACAACCCCCTTCCCCCACCCCCCCACCCCCCACCCAAAAAATGGGTTGAAATCTAAAATTAAAATACAATGCAACTATACCTTTGACAACCCAAAAGAAGGGCCACTTGAGAAGTCGGATCTTCTACTTTCCAGGTGCCCATTCCGGAACACGCGGACGGAAGCACAGACGGAGACGCACACGGAGACAAACACACAGGGAGACACACGGAAGCATGCAGAGACTCACTGAGACCCGCTGGGACACACGCGCACACGCACACGCACACACGCAGAGATCCATAACCCAATAACCGCAAGAACCGCAACACAAACACGAAAACTCTGAAGCCCGAAGTCGCACAAACGCTACGCAAACCCCACCAAAACCCCAACAAAACCACCCCCCTATCTCCCTTGCAAGCCTGCGTCCCAGGTGGAACAAGTTGCGTTGTTCCAGTTGTAGTTGTTCCAATCGATCGTGCCTCGGCCGGCAAGCAGGCGCAAAGGCTTCGGGCTTCAATCTCAAGCTATGTGTTCAGGACTTAGGGATTCGGGTTTAGGGTTTGGGGCTTCAGGGTTGAGGATTCAGGGTTGAGGGCTTGGGTTGTGAAAAGGCCCCCCCCTCGCCCAAAAGACCCCTCTGTTTGCCACAAGGCAGGCGATTCTCGCAAAGATTAGGGTTTAGGGTTTAGGCTTTAGGGTTTAGGGTTTAGTGTTTAGGGTTTAGGGTTTAGGGTATTAGGGAATCTAGGAAAATGGCTACCTGATCTCCCTGCATACAAGCCCCAGTGACTGCATCTGCCTTTTTGGCTCCCTCTTGTAAATTCACATAGGCCTCACGGTTGCGGAAACGTAAGGTTCAGGTATAAGTTTTGGGCGAACAGCCTCCTCCAAGCAACGCCAGTCCCACCCGAAACCCTGAACCCTGAACCCTAAACCCTAAACCCTAAGCCCTAAACCCTGAACCCTAAACTTGTTGAGCCCCCGAGCCGTTGTCCGTGTACGGTGTCGGGTAGCAGTACCTCGGCGGGTGGCACGAAACAAACAATACCGGACGCGAAAGGGAATGGAATGCCACCCCGAAAAAAAAAAGAAACTGAGCGCTGGTTTGTGGGTGGGTTTAGGGTTTAGGGGTAGGGTAGGTTCCAGGCTGAGTTTTGGGTTAGGGTGCCCTTTTCAAGACGCGCGGTCGGTTCTCTAACTCAGGGTTCCTGGCTGGGTGCTCGAAGTATAGTGCTCAAGGGTGTTGTTTTGTGTGGTTTGGGAAGCAGATTGGGAGGTGTTTCAGGGAGGTTTCGGGTTTGGTGCTCAGGTTTTCTTGGGATGTTCGAGGGGGACAGGCTTCTGTTAGGTGCTTGGCGCTTAGGGTAGATAGTCTTAGGTAGGCGTCTTGTTTCTAGCATCCCCAAAAGGACATCACACATGTGTATACATGCACTTACCGATTGTTCTCAGGATATGCCTACAATCACCAATGACAGCACTCAACCCCTCCTCCGACCCGAACCCCCAAACACCCGCTACCAAAAGCAAATAATAACCCTCTGAATCAAAGGGCACTGAAGACTGGCGGCTTAGGATTTGGGGGTCTGGGGATCAGGGTGCTCCCGGGCTCAAGGCTACCCTAAACTCTTTACCTTCGCACTCCGGGGGACAGCTCCGGGCAGGTCACCACGACGCCGCCGTAGCCGCCTGGGCCGGGGCTTTGAGAACTAGGGAATTAGGGGTTGCCCTTAACCCTAAGCGCTGAGCTTTCCGGCCGGATGCGACCTGGTTTGAGCCCTGAACCAAAGCCCTTAAATTCCCTCAAGCTCTTGGCCCCCTGAAGCAAATTCGCTCCCACCTCCTGGCTGGTAGGTGCTGGAGCCTCGTTGGCTTGGGACGTAGAGGCTTTTAGGCGGCTTAGGGTTTAGGGGGTTTAGGGGGGTTTAGGGGGGTTTAGGGGGTTTAGGGGGTTTAGGGGGTTTAGGGGGTTTAGGGGGTTTAGGGGGTTTAGGGGGTTTAGGGGGTTTAGGGGGTTTAGGGTCAGGGGGTTCAGGAGGTTCAGGAGGTTCAGGGGGTTCAGGGGGTTCAGGGGGTTTAGGGGGTTTAGGGGGTTTAGGGGGTGTAGGGGGTTTAGGGGGTTTAGGCAGTTTAGGCGGTTGAGGGGGTTTAGGTTTTTTGGTGTTTCAGTTGGTTTGCTTTAACAAGAGGTTCAGGGTTTGGGGTAGGCCATCACTCCGAAGACAAAACCCCGAAATCCCCAAGCTCCGAAACCCCAAAGACCCAAAGACCCGAAACCCCTACCCTTCAACCTCTCAGGTGCGTCAAACCAGTCTGCCCCCCAGTCTCAGAAGTCTCTGAAGCCAACACCCTAAACCTAAACTTCCCCAAAGCCGTACAGATAGCAAGTGCACACACACTGTACCCCGAACGCCGGCCAGGCAATAACGGCGGAGGGTTTAGGGGTTCTAGGCTTTGGGCTTTGGGGTTGATGCTTCAGCTCTTGCCTTCTAAGTAGACGCCAAGTCGCCCCACGTCTCGACGGAAACGTATCCCTTCGGGAGGAAGGGGGCTTAGGTCCGGTGGCCCCCAATTTAGGGTTTAGAGTGTTGGGTCTCGGGTTCAGGGATTAGGGCCGAGTGTTTGGGGTCTGGGGCGTACCCGAAACTTGCACGTACGCTACCCTGAGAACTCCCCTCCTAAACCCTCAACCAATCCAAAACCCGAACCCCTAACTCCTCAACCCCTGAACCCCTGAACCCCTGAACCCCTGAACCCCTGAACCCCTGAACCCCTAAACCCGAAACCAAAGGGCCAGGAGCTTGCGGTGAAGGGAATTGGGCCCATGTGGACTTCAGCATTGAAAATTTCATGCTTTAGGGCTTTCAGGTAGGTGTATTGGTTTTGGCGGTTTTGGTGTCTTGGGCTCAAGGGGTGTAGATGTTTAGGGCCAAGTAACGAAAAAGCCGAGTCGGCTGGGCCCCTCCCGCCCTTCCCTAAACCCTGAACCCTAAACCCTAAACCCTAAACCCAATGGCACCTCAGCTTGGCAGCCCGAAGACGCGGGCACGCAGATTTTGGGCGGAAGAGGCTCGGAGTAGGGGTACCAGAGGAAGCATTGCACCTCAGGGCGTCAAGGGCTTAGGGTTCGGGGTTCACGTTTAGGCTTTGGGATTTTGGGTGGAATCTATGGACTTTGAAGAGACCCGGTGCTGAGGGCCTTAGAGTTTTGGGTACTCGGGTTTTGGGGCTTAGGATTTCAGGGTTTTGGGGACGCCCAAAACTTTCAAATGCACAACACGAACCACCCGAGAAGCTCGAAGCCCTTGCAAAACAGCAGCAAAAACACCCTCGAACTCTTGCAGCTCTCGACATCCCCGTGTACTTTCAAGCTTGAACCCTCAACCCTAAACCCTGAACCCTAGACCCTAAACCCTAAACCCTTAGGAGCAGCCTCCCAGGGTTCGGCGCAATCGCAGCCCCTCTCCGGAGGAGCACAGCTGTGGTAGTCTTCGCCCTCGGCCAGAAGTTAGGGTCTTAGGGGCTTCTGGGGGAAAATGTTTGGCAGGTTTAGGGGGCATGCTCGTGCTTCCTTGCTTTAGGCTTGCTTTTTGTTTTGTTAGGGGGGGAGAGGGGTTTTGGGGCTTGAGGAGGATTCAGGACCGAAGATTGGGGGGTTTCGGCATGTCAGGGAGTTAGGGTTGCAGGGCCAGGACTTGGGGGGGGTGGGGGGAGGTGCTAGGAGTCTTCGTGGTGCTGCGATGTTTTGAGGATTTTGAGGCTTTAGGGTTTCGTGCAGGCAAGATTTGGTCGCTACATCTGATGCTGTTCGAAGGCCGTTGCCTTCAGTTGCCCTGAAGGGAAATTGCCGGGCGGCGACGAGAAAGGTGCCGTAGGGCGTGTAGCTGCGATGGAAGCAGAGGGACCTTGTGGCTTCGCTTTGTGTTTTCCTTAAACCCTAAGCCCTAAACCCCAAAAACCCTTTCTAGGGTCTTGAAACCCTAAGCCCTAAAACCCAAAGCCCTTTTTAGGGTCTAGGATTCAAGGGGGTAGGGGGTGGCGGGTTAGTCGTTTTGTGCTGAACCTTGTTGGGGCTTGTAGGGTTGAGGGCGTGTACCGGAAGAAGGAGGCCCTTCCGCCCCAACACCCCGAACCCCGAGATCCCACATCCATGTGTCCGACCTCAGTTCCAATCTAACCCCAAACCCTAAACCCTAAACCCCAAACCCTAAACCCTGTAAAACCTGAGTTGATTATGAACTCTGGTGATTCAGGGTGTTCATTCAGCCCTCAAGCTCGCCACCCCGCACCACCAACTGCGGTTACGGGAGGCTCGTCCGCTGGGCAGAGGCCATCACCTGACTTATGTAAGGCTCCCTCATCGGCCCCCTTGTAGGCAAGTTTTAGGTGTTTAGTGATTTTCGGGTTATTTTGGGGGGGTTTGGGGGTTTGGGGGGTTTGAGGGCGCTGGATTCCTGATCCTAACCCTGGAGAGCGGTGGCGCGGCGTGCCATGAGATTGTTGCCGCTGCGCGGTAAGACGCCCGAAGCCCTGTAAGCCCTATAAGCCCGAAAACCCGAAAAACCCGAAGAACCCGAAGAACCCGAAGAACCCGAAGAACCCGAAGAACCCGCAGAACCCTACACCCCAAACATCCCCAAACCCTAACCCGCCACCCTGCCCCCCCCCCCCCTCCGCCTCCCAGGCACTGGTCCCCGCCGCAGAAGTCCTGGTAGAGACCCGGGCCTGGTTGTCAACAGGGTTTAGGGTTTAGGGTTTAGGGCTTAGGGCTTAGGGTTTAGGGTTTAGGGTTAGGGTTTAGGGTTTAGGGTTTAGGGTTTAGGGTTTAGGGCTGAGGGTTTAGGGTTTAGGTTTAGGGTTTGACAGAACTGGAGTTGACCACGCAGTTCGGGCCAGAGGGTGTCAAGACCCCCTCCAAGGCCCCGACACGACATCGAGCTGTTGCCAGCTCCACTCGCCTCGGAAAATACCCCAACCTCCCCACAAGCTTGCTGACCTCTAAAGCCCCTATAAACCCTATTTAAATGCCAAACCCCTCGACCCCCTAGCCCCTGAACCCTAAACCCTAAACCCTAAACCCTAAACCCTAAACCCTAAACCCCCCTAAACCCCTAAACCTGGGCTGCGAAGTCGTCCCGGTAGCATTGGTGGCGTTCGAGGCGTTGCAAGTGAGAGTGTAGGCGCTGCCGTCCTCAGAGCTGAAGAACTCGACTTGTCGCTCGAGACTCTAGTTGAGGCGCTTGGGGATTCGGACTTGGGACTTAGGGTTTAGGCGGGAATGGGAGGTAAGGTTCAAGGTTCGTTAATGGCGCACTTTTTCCTTCAAGGTTCACGGGCAGCCAGACATGTCGGATCAAAAGCCAGGGTGGCTGTCGGTACTGGCCCTGCTTATGACGGAACCTGAGACCGTTTACAACCCACTCGCCCAAGGCTTTGGGGGGCTTCTCGGGCATTTGGGGTGCAGAGCTTCGGGCTTGCGGTGGTTCAGAGCGGTTTATAGCTTACAGGGCGTCTACCTGTGAATGGGGCCAGGCCTCTAAAATATGGCCTGCTTTTGGTTGACCTGATTTGAAGGGGTCGTACTATAAAAAGGAGGGGGGGGGCTTTCCAAAGTGGGGGGGTCGCATTATCAGGATTTTTATCTTCCGGTGGCACAAAAGGGGGGGCCTTGTATTGGAAAATTGCGCATATCACACAAAGTACGCCAAAACCATCCTCAAGCTTGGGCCGCGATCAGGCTGCGAGGCTCTTCTGGCGGCTTAGAATCTATCCACGGAGGCCCCCTACATGGGCTCAAGGTATGTCTTAGTTGTCCAGTACCTAGGGGTTTTAAAGGTTAACCTTTGGGATTACAAGGGGAATCTACTACCCCAAAAAGGTTCAAGGTTACCTACTCTACTACTAAGATGCAAGGCTCCCGATGTCGGGCATTTCTTGACATGAAATGTGGGGGGGGGGGCATGGTTTCAGGGACAGCCACATCAGCCGCGCGGCTGTCGGGTATCCTGGCGCTGCGGCAATCAATGGGCACCGAACGCTGGAAGGCCTATAACCCCCCAAGCCCTGAACAGGATTTGGGGTGGGGACATGTGGCGCTGGGGGTGTAGGATTGAGGGCTTGAGCTTCGGGCTTGGAGTCAGGGTTTTTAGGCTCCCAATCCTTGAGCTTGCTGCCGGCTTCGGAGGGGTCTTGTCACTAAGGCCCTAAACCCACTAGACCCCCGAGACCCCGAAACCCACTAAACCCGAGACCCCTAAAGACCGAACTCCAAGCCCCAAACCTTCAACCCCTACACCCGAAATCCCAACTCAATCCTGTTGATGGTTTCCTGGTGGGCCCTTGCCAGCGTCCTGCTGCGGCGCAAGTCGACACATCCGGGTCTTCGAGGTCTGAGAAGTAGGTGCCAGCCAACTGAGGAGTTTAGGCTTTTTGGGCTTCAGGGGGGGGGTAGGTGGGAGTTTCGAACAGTTGGCGGGCCCTCGTTTTTGGGTGTCCCTGTCCCGGGGGCGAATCTTGAATTATGACCCGCAATTCTTTAAAGGTGGAAGAAAGGCCATATATGGGCATTTCGCCACATAGGGGTACCCAAATAGAATGGCATTTTCCGGAAACCTCCAAATATCTCGAAGGGTCAACCGAAGGCTGCTTCCTTCCTTGCGCATTGGACCTGCTTCTGAGAGGTTTAGGGCTATGCGATTATCTAACAGATATCCGAGAGCTGCTGGAGGCCATGAAACTTTGGACCTAAACCCCATACACACATACATAGGGTGTAGGGTTAATGGGGTGTAGGTTTTTTGGGATGGAACTTATCCTTACCTTGAGGCAATACGGCGGTTCTTTCCAAAGATTTGCGTCCCCCTTCGTACCCCGCATGCATTGCAACATGCCACGACGAGCCCTCATCCCCGCATCAATCAAGCCCCATGAGTCCCAACAGTGATCCCGGTAGCTCTTTACATTCTGCGAAATACTTGCACGGGGGCTTTACGAAATGGGGAACCCCAATATAGACCCCAAGTAGTAGGATTCCCTTTTTGATCGGGACCCCAACAAGCCCCAAATTCGGAAAACTCTTTTTTCGTAAACCCTTGAAGGCTTGCCAGCGTAGGGCTTCGGGCTGATATCTTGAGATGTTCACGCCTTATACTAACAGCCCCTAATAGGCACTGGAATCCCCATTAAGGACTGTTAGTATAAGGGGGAGCATCCAAGGTTCGGTGGGTTCAGGGTTTAGGGTTTAGGGTTTAGGGTTTAGGGTTTAGGGTTTAGGGTTTAGGGTTTAGGGTTTAGGGTTTAGGGTTTAGGGTTTAGGGTTTAGGGTTCCTTAAACCCTAAAAATCAATGAAATTATCAGACTTCCGAGCCAAGAAAATCCTGAAACCGAAGCCCCCCCAAACAAAAACCCCCCCAAAGCCCCACAAAACCCCCCTAAAACAAACCCTAAACCCTAAACCCTGAACCCTCCCTAAATCGCAAGCTCGGGCCCTCAATCCCCCAAGCGCAGCGGGGAGGCCGACAGCGTCGCGGCGAAGTCCGTGCAGCTCGCGCTCTGCGCAAAGCAGCCTCGGGGAGATTGTTCGGGGTTATAGGGTTTAGCGTTTAGGGTTTAGGGTTTAGGGTTTAAAGGTTTGGGGGTGTAGGGTTTAGGGTTTAGGAAACGCCTTACCCCCGAAAATCCACACCCTTGAACACCCTGAACACCCTGAACACCCTGAACACCCTGAACACCCCCCCCAACCATCCGAAGTGCGTTGGACACCTCAAGTTCCCTAAAACCTGAAACCTAAGCCCTACACCCCAAACCCTGAACCCTAAACACTAAACCCCCAACTACCCGAAGAACCCGAAGTAGTTCAGAGGACCCCCAAAACCCGTATTTAGGCCGCATTTCCTGTAAGACCCAAAGAAAACATTCTAAGGAGCCCCGCATGCCCCCTAAACCTGACCTGAAGCGTGGGCGTGAATGAGGGGGTCAGGCCCACCCTTCGAGGCAGGTGTTTGGGGAAAACCCTACCAAACCCGACACGGACGCCTTCGACTTCGGCGTCCACCACTTCCTCGACGTCCTACACCCTAAACCCTAAACCCCCAAACCCTGAGGGTACTACTGGGTGTCCTCGATAACGTACTGCGATCCGGGAGGCTCTTGGCCGCAAGCATCGGGCACGCTGCCCTGAGGACCTAGACCCAGGTGCTGTCTTTTGCAAGGGTTCAGGGTTTAGGGGCTTTTCGGACCTGCTTTACATGTCGACACTGAGGGGGATTTAGAGGGCTTTAGGGGTTCCAGGAATTGCGATACTTCCAAAGCCAAAAGGTTAAACAGCCCACCCCCTAAACCCACACCCCACTCTTCGTAGTTTCGGCACCCTCAATCCCCACAACCTTACACTCCTACGCCTCAAACCCCTCAACCCCCTCCACAAACCCCCCAAACCTGTAAACCCTAACCCCCACCCCCTCGCCCGCAACCCCCCCCCCCGCCTGATGGCTGCGCGCCTGGGGAGGGTGAACCCAGTGAATCCTACCCCTCCCTTCCCCCACTAGTTGCTTAGGCTTACGGGTGTTACGTTTCAGGGTTTGTCGGGTGTTGGGGGTGTGTTGATAACCTCCCCCCACCCCCCCCCCCACCCCCGCCCGCCAGATATGTTCTGGCGCCGTCTGAACAAAAGCTTTGCTGGTCACGGGTGGCAATCGTGAACGTTGGGGGAGGGTGACACCCTAAACCCCAAGCCCTAAACCCAAAACCCTAAACCTTGGGGCCTCTTTTTTTATGTCTCTTCTAAACCTCTTCCGGGTCTCTCTGGGCCTTTCAGATGGGCACCCTTCTGGGTGGCACGGATCGTGCTGTAGTGCTTCTACCTTGGTCCCTGACTTCATTCATTGCAGCCTTTGTTTTGACGGTCTGCCTCTTAAGGGGCAACCTGGCCGGATTTGTTTGGGGGCTGCTTGTTTAAAGCTTTAGATTTCGATGCTTTCGGCAGGCTCTGAAGATCAGGATTTCTGAGTCAGGAGGAGCCTGGTACCATATGCCGATTTCATGTGACTACTTCTTCGGCATGCTGGCTGCTTGCTGTCTTCTTTGACAGGAGCCCACGAGCCACCCAAATTCTTGTGGCCTGTTCAAGAGTAGGGTCAGTAGGAGGGAACACATCCGAAAGCACGACCCAGTATATCCAAATCCATGAAGTTGGCGGACCACGGGTTTAGGGCTAGGGTTTGGGGTTGCGGCATCATAACTCAGGTGCATAGAACCCAACCCTCCCCGCGCAAAAAACGAAGCGACCGCAGTTCTCAAGGCGAAACAGGGAACCCTAAAGTTCTACTGGCCCTGAACCCCAGCCCCCAAACCTTGAGCCCTGATCCCTAAAGCCTAAACCCTAGATCGTAAACCCTAGACCTCGAAATCTCAAACCTGTTAAGCTTCATGCCTTGATTAGGGCTTGGGATCACTTGACTACCTACCCCGATTGGACACAACCTCCCCCCCCCCTCCCTAAAGTCAACCCTCTACTAAACTTCCTAAAGCCTTGTTTAGGGCTTGGGGCGACATGCCTTCTGCAAAGTGCTGGCGTTCAAGCCCTCAGCCAAGTCTGCATCCTTGGGCGACGAGAGGGGGGCGAAGCAGCATGCTTAGGGAAAAGTTCGGGTTGAGGGGCGTAACCAAAAAGGATGACCTCTAGATAAACCCTAAACCCAAAACCTCAGCCCCCTTGTTGCAGAGTTCTCCAACCCCCTGCTTCTCCAACACAATACATCCTAACCCACCCGCCAAACCTTAACCTCCAAGAACACGCAACCCCCAAACCGTAAACCCAAACAACCTTAGACCCCAAAGCCCTGGACGGTAGCTGCGCACGGGTACCGGGAGGGGCGAGGGGGCTTAACACGGAGGAATTTTAGGTAAAGAAGGTTTCAAGTTTAGGGAATTTGTGGGTCTAGGACCTGTTAAACCCTGATCCCTTAGTAATAGGGTTTAGGGTTCAAACGGTTCAGATGTGAAGGTCTCGGGGGTTGAACCACACACTATGCCCCCCACGCCCTACACCCCAAAACACCAAACCTCAAACCTACACCCACACCCGAAGCCCCCAAACTCGAAGAGCCGTCAAGCCCAAAACCTAAACCCTGCGCCCGAGCCCTAAGATGTCCGAAAACACCCACAAACCCTGACCCCCCCCCCCCCCCCCCCAAAAAAAAAAAAAAAAAAAAACAACTTAAACCCCCCGGTCGAGAGTCGAAAGTTCGAAACTTCTGGAGTTTAAAGTCCCTGAACACCCAGCATCAAAAACCTAAACCCTCGAACGCTGTAACCCGTTAAACCCACAGCGGCCCTAGCAGCAAAAGGGGAACACTGTCATGGCCAAGCGTCGATGTGCATCAGCACTCCCGGAGTCCTTCTTGTTGCGGGCCCCAAACCCTAAACCCTAAACCCTAAACCCTAAACCCTAAACCCTAAACCCTAAACCCTAAACCCTAAACCCTAAACCCTAAACCCTACCCTAAACCCTAAACCCTAAACCCTAAACCCTAAGCCCTAAGCCCTAAGCCCTAAGCCCTAAGCCCTAAGCCCTAACTGGCTTCGGATTCGGTTCAGTGTGTATTTTGGGGCCACGAACTACCCCCAAAACCCTGAACCCAACCGTTCGAGGATTGAGGGCGGACGGCCTCAAGGCCCAAAGCCCTAAGCGCCGTTTCGGCTAAGCCCTACCCTCCAGATCCTAATCCCTAAACGCAGCTTCGGGTGTAGGATGTGAGGTTCGGGTTTTTGGGGGCGCATTTGGGGCGAGGGGTATTGGATTTCGGGCAAATTCCTAGTTGTTGGGGCTGATAGGGTTCGTAAGGTTAGAAGCAAGGTACAGATTCAGGGGCACGGTGCTTCCACAGGACTGCCGGCGCAACTGTGGGGGTTTAGAGTGCAAGGTTTACGGTCTGGGTCTGGGGTTCATCTTTCAGATGTTTTGGGATTGGGAGGACCAAAGGCTCGCAGACAACTCGCCCCCGCCACCCCCCCCCCCCCCCCCCCCCCCCGCAGCGCCAAGCCCCGAGCATGAGGTACTCTGCAACATCTGAAACAGCCTGAGCTTGAAGGGGCGTGACCCTTTCTCTGAAGGCTCATGTACCGGGCTGTAGGGTGTAGGGCTTGGGGTGTAGGACTCGATTGTTCAGGGGCAACTTTAGCTGGAGAGATACATCTTTGAATGCACGCTTATAGCCTTTCAGTCTTATTTGTCAATCAAGTCCTCCTAAAAAATATAAAGCAAAAATCTCAATTTTCTTCAATTCTCCCAAATCATTTGACATGTTTGGTAAAATTTCGGAAATTTGAGACAAGAATGGTACATCTAATTTCTTAATTTCATAAAATTTGTTGCAGGCTGTAAATTCCCGCATTACCTTGTTCCGGGCTATAAGGGTGGCAGTTTTTTCTATATGGGCTAGTCAGCGCAACGGGGAAGGTTGCTTTTCAGGTGCCGCGCATTTGCTTCATGCATGAAGCTGTCGGTCGGCAAGCTTATCGAAACATGACCACATAACTCAGCTTCGGGGTGCTGTCAGGCTACCCCCCGCCCCTTGAAGACCCCTCGAACGCACACTGAGCCGCACGCCACTCGCAGGTGCACGTGCAAAAGGATGTGCAGAAGCCCTGACCCTAAACCCCGCACCTGTTGTAGCTCTATCCTTCATGAACATGCACCCAACCTGCAAGGCCCCAAAGCATCGGAAGAGCCCCCTTTGTAGATTTACAGGGTTTCGGGTCTGGGCGGCGGGATGATGCGGGGAGGGATGAACTAGACTTAGAGTGAATTAGGGTTTTGGGGTTGAAGAGGTTTAAAAGGGTTCGAGGGCTTAGAGTTCGGTGGCTTAGGTTCAGGGATTTCAGCCTGAACCCTAAACCCTCAACCCTCAACCCTAAACCTAAGCGCAAGGCCGAAGGGTAGGTGCAGTCGTCGCAGAAGCAGGCTGCGTTGCTGGCCAGGGCAAAGGGACCTCGGACGCGGAGATCCCTTTAAATTTAAACCCACCCTACGGAAAACCCCTGCAACCCCGAAACCCCGAGACCCTAAAACCCCTCACAGCCCCCCAAAGTCTCCCAAAGTCTCCCAAAGTCTCCCAAAGTCTCCCAAAGTCTCCCAAAGTCTCCCAAAGTCTCCCAAAGTCTCCCAAAGTCTCCCAAACCCCACGCGTCAAGAACTGCCGTTAGGGCTGCTTAGGGTTCAGGGTTTAGGGTTCAAGGTTCAGGGTTCAGGGTTTGGGATTCAGGGTTTAGGAATCAGGGTTTAGGGTTCAGGGTTTAGGTTTCAGGGTTTAGCTGGCTGCAGCCACGGTGGCGGACGGACAGCACCGCCACCCACGCTTCGCCTGGTTTTGCGGCGACGGCCGCCCCAAGCCCGAAGCCCTCGAGCCCTTTAGGGTAGAGGTAGGGATGTAGAGGTTTAGGGTTAGCGGTTTAGAGATAGCAGTCCGCCGTCCGCAAGACGCAAGACTTCAAGACGCCCCCCCAATTAAGACCCTCATTAGCCCTTGACTTCATCTTGCTGCAACCCCATGCACCCCAAATCCGCACGGGTAATTGGGCTGTTGCTAATGAGGCGGACCATGACAATTAAGCCCCCGAACACCTAAAAGCCCAGCGCCCTAAAGGACCTTTACGAGAAACAAGACAACCCTAAAACCTTTCAAAATAGCACTACACCCCCCCCCCCCCCCCCCCCCCCCCCCCCGCCCTGCCGCGCGCGGCCCCAACAACAAAAGCAAACCCCCAGCCCGAGAACCGAACCACCGAACCACTTCCCCCCCTTAAGCGGGGTCCAAACTCGTACCCCTTGGAAACAGTTCTGCTTTGGGTGTACTGGCTATAGCTGTGCAAAACCGTAGCAGCACATACCCAACTTAACCCTTCAAGCTCAGATGCCCCTACTTTGATGCCCGAAAAAAGGGTGCTTTGAAATCCAAGCAGCCGAAACCCTCAACCCCAAACCCAAATCCTGAGCTCTGAGCCCTCAATCCTGAACCCAACCAAAGCCAAGGTCGGACCCATTGAGACAGGCGAGGCGCCCCAGGGACCTTCAAACGCGGAGGGAATCGTGCCAGCCTGGGCGGGCTTGGGGTTCCGAAACCCTAAACCCTCAACCCTACACCCTGAAACGTAAACCCCCAGCATACGGTTAGAGACCCCTCGGCTCGGAATTGAAGGCTTCGGGCTTGGGGTGCTAAGTTTCAGGCTCACCGAAACCCTAAACTCAAAACCCGGTGAGGGAACCCTAAACCCTTGGAAAGGAACCCTAAACCCGAAACCCTAAAACAACTGTGGGAGGCCGGTTTAGGGTTTGGGCCAAGGCTCAGATCCATCGAGGCTGCCGGCTCCCCGGGCTTACTTGGGATTCAGGGTTTAGGGTTGAGGGTTTAGGGTTTAGGGTTTAGGGTTTAGAGTTAGGGGTCTCGAATTACAAGCTCTTCAACCCAGAGCCCTCGGTCCCACGACCTCCCAAGCCCAAGCCATGTAAACAACCAATCTTCAGACCTTGCACTAAACCCCCCAGAACCCCCAAACCCTAAACTCCGGACATCCCTGCGCCCCCCCCCCCCGACCCTGCAAAGCACAAGTTCGCAAGCATGAACGCTTATGGGTTCCGGGTTCAAGCCCTCGCTAGCGTAGCGAAACGTTCCAGAACCCCCCACTACTAGTAGCGCGGGATTTAAATTCATGTGCATCGTGCACGCCGGAGACATCATCAGAAGAGGTTTCCATGTTGGGTTTTTAGCGGCTTGGAAACCGAGGTCGGGTCTCAAGGACGGATTCATGGGCAAGACTGACAGGTGGGATGGATTCCAGGGTCTTTGAGGCAGTAACCGTATGATGAAGAGCTCCAAGTTCCAGGATGATAAGGTCAGGTGTGAATGGTACGTCCGTGAGTCGGAGAGTGAGGGTCTCAAGGTGTCACAGGGAGTTGAACCCTCGAACCACGAGCGTGTGGCACACGTTTGCCCGGAGTTTTCTGGGATGCACGGTGCATTCGAAGACATTCCGTTTTCGTGAGCCATGTGGCAAGAACCAGTTGTTAAGAAAGGGAGTGTTTGACGGGAGCTTGAGAGTGGGGAGTGTTGCAGACTGTGACCTGCACGCCTCCCCGCACCACCCCCCACCCCTGCCCCCCCCCCACCCCCCCGCACCCCTGCCAGTACCGCGGGCAAGCATGTGAAACGCACCGTTTTGGGATCTGGGTTTCGAGGGCCCGGCGAGGACGGGCGACATCAGCGGCCAAAGGCCATATCGGATGAAGAAGGCGCCTTCATGTGGGCTTTCGACTTTCGAGCTAAACCCCAAAGCCTAAACCCTGTACAACATCTTTGGCAGTTTATGGAGGGTTGAGGATGGAAGGATTCGAGATCTCCTTCTTCATCAGAGGCTGCCTTGCCTAATCCTGAAACCCTAACCCTTGCCTCTACCCTACACCCTACACTTTACCCTCAATCCTAAACACGAACCCTAAACCCTACACCCAACACCCAGCGTGCTTCCTTAAATTACAGGAGCCTGTTGGAGCCTCACGGAGTCTTTGGGCCTCAGGCGCCTGTGTACGGCATTCGGGCACAGCCACAACATCGCCCAGAACCTCACGGCCCCGAAGCCCTTAAACTCTGAACCCTGCAAAGGTTTAGGGCTTCGGGGTTTCGGGGTGGTGAGGGGTGGGGTGGGCTGCGCGGGCCATCCGTTGTGCTCGCGGTGCAGGCATCTTGCCTTACACTTTGCTTTGGAGGTGGCTTTGGGATGGCTTTGGCTTTGAGGGGTTTGGGGTTTCGGACAAGACAAGTTACTTCCCTCGATCGTCCCCACCCCACGGCTACAACCGCTACGGGTGCCAACTCTGCCGTTTTTCGGACTTCAGAAGTAAGAAGACTTCCCCTCAGCACTCCAATGGATGCTGGGTACTGTCTGGCACCTCAGGGAATCCTCGGAGGGTGGTGGAAGGGGCGGAAAGGGGAGTGGAGTCTAGTCGGCAGGACTCTGCCTCTGCGGGCTTTTCAAGGAGAGCACGGGGAAAAGCCCTCACCTTTCAGGCTTGCAGGGAGGTTTTCTGCGGGGGGGGGGGGCGGGGGGGTGCGTTCCAGAAAGGCCAAAAAACCCAAAACCACAAACCTCAAACCTGCAAGCAAGGCGACATGGAGCCCACGAGCCCACGAGCCCAGGTTCCAGTTTAGAAAACTCGATTTCCGGCCTTCAGCGCCCGACCCCGCAAGTCGGGTTTGAACTCATTAGTAACAGCCCCCCCCGCCCCTCTCGAGCCGCGGGAAGATGATGCTCAGGACGTCTTGCGCTTCGTATACGAAAAACTTCCGCAAACCCTCAAAACCCCAAACCCCCACCTGGAACAAGACCCGGAACAGCCTCGAACACCCGGAAAGCAAGCTGAAGCCCCCACCCCCTCCTGAAGAGCTCGCTCTGGCCAGGCTGCGCGAGTGCGAAGGTGCCGCAGGGCGCTTGGTAGTCTGTGGGAAACATGTTGGTCTCCTCCTCGCAGAGCACGCTTTCGAGGGGGTTCAGGCGCGAAAAGTCCCCCAAGGCAGAGGGCACCCTAAACCCTAAACCCTAAACCCTAAACCCTAAACCCTAAACCAGGCTTCGGGGGCTTCGGGTGCTGAGGGCATCCTCGGGCTTTGGAGGCTTCAGGGAGAGGCTCCGGGGGATGCAGGGCTGAAGGCCCAAAAATGGGAGGAACTGGCGCAAGCATTTTTAAAAAATATCGGACGCTGAACTTCTTGTTTTGTCGAAAAGGTCCCCATTTTGCACATCTTTTGTGTGAGCAGCAATAAGCAACAACGTCGAGCAGTGGATTTCAGCGATCCGTCTAGATACAGGTTTCGCTGGAGCGGGATACCTTGCTGTTAGCACGTAAGCTTCTGTGTACTCATAAAAGCAGCACTAAAATGGACAAGCCGCAATGTTCTGCAACAAGGTTGCCTGCTAGGGCGGATTCGGTCTGAATAGGAAGTAAGCAATACGATGGCCATAGCTATATACCCTAGAACATACCTCCTGGAAGTTGTAACTTCAGGATGCCCAAAATGCCACGCATGAAGTCCAACAGGGATGAATCCGAAGTCGACAGCGTCACACCCTAACAGCCCTGAGCCTTGCAATTGCCGGTTCTGCAACGGGCTCCAGAAAATCGCACGCTGATGAAACGATATTGGTTTGCACGTAAAGTTTAGGGTGTAGGGTTTAGGGTTGAGGGTTTAGGGTGCTTGGAGCGTAGGGTTCAGGGTTTCTGTGAAGCGCAAGAAAGAAGGGTGAGAGTCACAGTTAACCGACTGGCAACACCCTGCTCGTCGCCGCCCATGAACCTTCAAGTAGGGGCCACCACCCCCAACCCCCAACCCCCAACCCCCAACCCTAAACCCTAAACCCTTAACCCTAAACCCTAAACCCTAAACGCGGAGCAGTCCGTGTAGATCGTGCACATCGTACCTGCCCCGGGATTTCTGTGTTTGAGTCCGCAAGACTAGGACTTCAACTTCGCGAGAAGTCTTTCAGGCGCCTTAATCTTCAAGCCGGTCACCCAAGGGTTTAGGGTTTAGGGTTTTGGGTTCAGGGTTCAGGGTTCAGGGTTCAGGGGTTTAGGGTTTAGGGTTTAGGGTTTAGGGTTTAGGGTTTAGGGTTTAGGGTTTAGGGTTTAAGGTTTAGGGTTTAGGGTTTAGGGTTTAGGGTTTAGGGTTTAGGGTTTAGGGTTTAGGGTTTAGGGTTTAGGGCCAAACTCTCGCAAGAAACCTGAAAAAGGATTCAGGCTGATGGCCCCCCAAAAACAGCCAAAAACTGAAGCCGTAGACCATGAACTCTAGACTGCCCCAAGAAGACCCCAAACCAAGATCGAAACCTCGCCCAAAGCCCTTCAACCGATCAGCGGGCCTGCACAGGTGCTGTTGGTCTCGAGGGTAAACGCGAAACCTGGGGGCAAGTGGGAAGGAAGCTTTGTTTGTGGGGTCGTTGGAGGGTTTGGGGTGTAGAGTTGAGGGTTTAGGGTGTCGGGTTTAGGGTTCAGGGTTTAGGGTTCAGGGTTTAGGGTTCAGGGTTGAGGGTTTCAGGTTTAGGGTTACGGGTTTGGGGCTTAGGGTGGGTGTTCAGGGATCGAGGATTGAAAGTTTAGGGTTTAGCTGCTTGGGTAACCCTGTTGACCCCACGTTCAAAAGCCAAAAGAAGCTACTTCAAATCTAGACCCTCAAGCCCCACGACCCCTATCTAAACCCTAAACCCGAACCCCCCGTTAAAAAAATGAAAGTAAAATAACTACAGAAACTTACAAATCCCCAACCCTCGCTGAGCTGGGGGTGAACTGCTGCCCTGGCAGCCCATTTCCGCGAGCGTGGCGTTGGCGCAGGCCTCTTGAGGGGCTTCGGGACCTGATGAGGGCTTAGGATTAGGGCTCGGGATTCCCTGAACCACCCGCGAAGCCTTAAACCACGACTGGAGGGCTCTTCTGTAAACTTACTTGCAGCCCCCCACACACAAGAGGCTGATGAACCCTGATCCCCAACACCCGGATGCTTCTAAACCCTAAAGCCTCTGTCCAGAGCCCTGAAAGCCCGAAAGCCATTGCGTGGCGGTCCTCGAGTCGCTAACCTTCAAAACCCTGAACAACTCAAACCCTTAGCCCCTCAAGCCCTCAAACCCCGATACACCTAAAGCCGAACCCCTAAAGCCCTGAATTCAGGATTTAGGGTGTAGGGCTTGGGGTTGAGGAGGGTTCCCAGCCTTGACTTGCCCGGCGCTGGCATTCAGACAGATGCTTGTCGACGTCCACGCCGAGATGCCTTTGTGTTTGTCCCTAGAAGAGCTGAGTGTTTAGGGTTTGTGGTGTGGGCTTTAGGGTTTAGGGTTTAGGGTTTAGGGTTTAGGGCTTAGGGCTTAGGGCTTAGGGCTTAGGGCTTAGGGCTTAGGGCTTTAGGGCTTAGGGTGCAGGGAGTGCAACCCTCGCGTGGAGCCAGCCGAGGCAAACAGAATTTACCCATGGAATATGTTCAGGGTGTCGCACAGGGAACCGAGTCTTTAGGGTTTGTGGTGTGGAGTTTAGAGTTTAGGGTTTAGGGTTTAGGGTTTAGGGTTTAGGGTTTAGGGTTTAGGGTTTAGGGTTTAGGGTTTAGGGTTTAGGGTTTAGGGTTTAGGGTTTAGGGTCGAGGGCTTAGGGTTCAGGGGTGGGGTTTAGGGTTTACGGTACAGTCCAAGCGGCGGCACTTGTCGCAATTCAGGGAGACGAACTCCTGCGCGCTTGGACCGGCTACTAGTTTAGGGCTTGTAGGGTTTTGGGGGTTTGGGGCTTATAGGGTTTTGGGCTTAGAGGGTTTGGGTTCTTAGGGTTGGGGGTTGGGGTATGTAGGGCCTTTTGTCGTCAAAGCTCCCTAACCGTCGTTGCGAGCTAGGCTTTGAAAGGTAAGCCCTAGTACAATGAACTGGAAGTCCTTTGGCTGGCCGGTTTGGGCGGGCAGTGTCTGGGCTTCAAACCCTCAACCCTAAACCCTGTCCTTCGAGTTCAACACACACTCTGACGGGGCAAAGACGGTTGAGTGAGCTTAGGGAGTTTTTGGGGGGCTTTTGGACCCCACACCCTAAACCCCAAACCCTAAACCCCAAACCCCTAAACCCTAAACCCTAAACGCCAAACCCTAATTTAGGGACTTTTTGCTGGGCAGCTGGTCCTCCTCCACGGCGGCTCCGGCCTGAGTTCAAAACGGATGGCACTGGCTCTGTGAGGTTTAGGGATTTCGGGTTTAGGGTTCAGGGTTTAGATTTTAGGGTTAGGGTTTAGGGTTTAGGGTTTAGGGTTTAGGGTTTAGGGTTTAGGGTTTAGGGTTTAGGGTTTAGGGTTTAGGGTTTAGGGTTTAGGGGTTAGGGGTTAGGGGTTTAGGGTTTAGGGTTTAGAGTTTAGGGTTTTGCGGGCCTGGTCACAGCCCGCAAGCTCTGGTTGTAGGCTTGGGGGTGTTGAGAGGTTTAGGGTTTAGGGTCTAGGGCGTTCGGGTTTAAGGGCTAGGGTTCTGACAGCTCGAGGAATGTTCGGAGCTCCAACCGTGGGAAGCCACACTCACTCTGCCCCAAACCCTAGTTAAAACCCCTAAACCCTGCCTATATCCCTAACTGTATCTACCTATGAACTTTCAAGCTGGCCAAGCCCAGGGACTGGGTACAAGGGCTGAGGGTCTCAAACCAGAATAGCCAACGGACCACAACCTGTACTTTTAGGCAGAACTTTCCAAAGAACACGGACGAGGACTCTAAAGCCGAACTCTCTTCTCCTCTTCAGGCCGCCGTTTTCCCGTAAACCCCTGAAGCCCCCAGATTCCCAGAACGCTCTAAACGCTGAACCCACGAAGCCCTAAACACCTGAACCCCACAAATTCAAACCTGTCTAGGGTTTAGGGTTCAGGGTTTTGGGCTGAGGGAACCCTCAGCCCCCTAATGCCCAAGACCCCAAACAACCCCAAACCCCAAACCCTAAACCCTAAACCCTCAACCCTAAACCCTAAACCCTAAACCCTAAACCCCAAGCCCAAAGTAAAGTGCCAGGGCATCCATTCGGGCCGAGTGGCCGAGCAGCTGCCACACTGCGGGCAGACCTCCCGCTGGCAGCAGAAGAGTTTAGGGTTCATAACAGGGTTTATCTAGGGTTTATAGACGGTTTATGTAGGGCTTATATACGGTTTCTATAGGGTTTACATAAGGCTTATATAGGGCTTATATAAGGTTTCTGTAGGGTTTATATAAGGTTTATATAGGGTTATTTAAGGTTTATATAGGGTTTTGTTAGGGTTGTTTCTCAGCCCGGGTTTATCAGCTTATAGGGCTTTAGGGTTGATGGGGTTTAGGGCTTATAGAAGGTTCAAGGACACTCCGTGGCGCCCGGAACCCAAACCCTTGAGCCCTGAGCCTGAGCTGGGTGGCCTCCAGTCAGCTCAGCCCCACTCAACCAAACAAACGCCTCAAGAGACCCTCTGAAGAAACTTTGCGTAGGATCCTCTCAAGCAAATACAGCAAGAGAACACAGTGTCCCCAAGGCATGACGTAGCAGGCAAGACCCTACAGCCGTAAGAGGCCTCAAAGGTCAAACCCACAAGGTTTGGGTTCAGGGGCATATTCCGGAGTAAGATCGCCTAACAAATCCAGATATTGAAAACTGAAAGATAGCAAGGCTGGCCCGCAAGTCCTCCCCTACCGTAGTACCCGACCTGGTAGGCCACCATGCCCATTTGGTCCATGTCGTATTGGCACCAGCCGCTGTTCATGCCGCCAGGGGCATACCTCAGCCAGCTTCGGGACATGGATGCCCTTGCTCCTCAGCTGAACCAAAAGCCCCGAAAGCCCTGCAGAACAGCCTAAACCCTAAGCCCCCAAGACCCTAAACCCGCAACCCACAACCGTAAGCACTAAACCCTTAATTAGTCTTCACCCATTTATCCCTCAAGCCCTATATAACGCAACCCTAAACCTATAATCCCGCAAGCCCTATATTTATAAACCCTAAACCTAAACCCTACTCCTGGGCGGCTCAAGGTCTATGCTGGGTGGTTTAGGGGAGTTCGTTTCCAGGGTTGAAGTGATTCTGAGGGTGATTTGGCGTGTGCCCGCGTGCGCGCGTGTGCACTTGTGCGCGTGCGTGTTGCGTGTCTTGTAAAGGCCTGATGCCATGGGATCTTGGACCCTGAGCCCCTGAACGCCTAAACCTCTAAACTCCGCAAGGCCACGTGCTGCACGGGCCATAGCCGGCATCGAAAGTCTCCGCATCGCCTGGAAGGGAGGGTTTCGGGGCTTTTGGTTCTTGGGTTTAGGGCGCTGAACTTCTGAACTCTATGGTTTTCGGCTTAGAGTGTTCGATCGTTGAGATGGAGCGTTGAGGGCCGGACGACGTGGGGTACTTAAACTCCTGGGCTGGGAGAGATACCAATGGCTACAGGAAAGTGGCCAACCACGCTTGGTCCTAGCAGTACGTCCGCAGAAAGCATTCCCCGAAACAATTTTCTAAGCAGAAGTAGAACACGTGGTTTGAACTGCAGCGCAAGTTTGGGGTTTCCCAGCCCCTATTTGGGGACATGCCCACGTTCCTACATCCCGAAACGAAGGAAAACAGGCAAGGGCACGGCAGCAGCGCCTGTGAAATCAGCGTTGCTAACTGCATTGATGATCTTGAAACCACTGGGGACACCCTCCCCTCCCCAATCTTCCAAAATATGTGAACTAGTCCTATTCTGGAAGGAATGTTCCCTACTTTCTTTGGCCGGCTTTGGATGATCTGGGTCCTGCCCACAGCATGTCTTGCTCTCAAATCCTCAAAGCTCTCAATCCCACGAAGAGCGAGGCCGTTTCCTCAGTCGTCATCGCCCGCCAGAGTTGCTGCTCTAGTGCGTGATGGTGTGATTCTCGATCCTAAACCCAGACCATGTACCCAACTTTGGCTTTAGATGTCCGTATCGAATCAACGATGCAAGCCGGAAAATCAATAAAAACAACATGAAAGCGGGAGCTGCTAGGGCTATTCTTCTGGCGGCTGCCTAACGTAGCAAGAGACTCTTTTGATATCCGCTTAAACACGTGCGGAAAGGTGGGAGTGTTCTTGAGGAATTGTTTCAGGCCTGACAGATCCCTCCTGTGTGTACTGGCAGTGTGGCCTAAGTGGCTATTTAAACCCTAGGCCCACAAACCCAAACACCCTAAACCCTAGGATTTAGCCCTAAAGCCCAAAAGCCCTAAACAGAAAAAACAAAAACTTAGGGTTGATTAGGGTCCTTTCAAACCTCTGAAGCCCTTCAAGCGAACAGGTTTGTCGAGGTGAGAGGGCCCGTAAACCCCAAGCGCTTCCCAAATAATCCAAAAGAAACCTAAAGCCCGAATTTAGGGTTTTAGGATTTAGGGTTTAGGACTTAGGGTTTAAGGTTTAGGGACCCTAAACCCCTACTTGTAAGCCAACCCCAAAACCCCAAAACCCCAAAACCCCAAAACCCCAAAACCCCAAAACCCCAAAACCCCAAAACCCCAAAAACCCCAAAACCCCAAAACCCCAAAACCCCAAAACCCCAAAACCCCAAAACTCCAAAACCCCAAAACCCCAAAACCCCAAAACCCAAAACCCCAAAACCCCAAAACCCCAAAACCCCAAAACCCAAAACCCCAAAACCCCAAAACTCCAAAACCCCAAAACCCCAAAACTCCAAAACCCCAAAACCCAAAACCCAAAACCCAAACCCCCCCCTGCGCAGCTCCCCAGCTGCGCCTTGGCACCCCCCGGCGGAGCCGCTGTCTGGCGCGCTGGTGCTGGTGTAGCTGCCGTAGCCTAAGTTGAGGACCGTTGGGGTTTAGGGCATTTAAGGTATTTAAGGTCATTTAGGGTATTTAGGGCATTTAGCGCATTTAGGGTATTTAGGGTATGTAGGGTATTCAGGGTATTCAAGGTTTTGTTAGGGGTGTAGGGGCTGTAGGGCTTCAGGCTAGGGTTTAGGGATTCGGGGCGTAGGAATGCGTAGGATGTCGGGTCTTAAGGGGTATTTCGAAGACCCTAGAGCCCTAAACCCTAAACCTGCTGCGTTCGGCTCACAGAGATGCTTGCGGCTGTTAGGCGTTGAGGGGTTTAGGGGTTTAGGGGTTTAGGGTTTAGGGTTTAGGGATTTGGGCTTAGGGTTTAGGGTTGAGGGTTGAGGATTGAGGGTTTAGGGTTTAGGGTCTAGGGTGCAGGGTGTAGCAATGGTCAGCTGTACGCTATTGTGTGCAGACAAGCCCACCCCAAGGCCAGCGAAACAAACCAGAGCCAGCCGAACCAAAGCCAGCCCGCATTCAAACACTACTGCACTTCGGACTAATATCTAGCATGTTAGCACGCTTCCTTGTATTATGGAGCCTGCCTGTGAAAATGCTTTGCTGCAAGGTGACATCTGAGAAGATGGCTTGGGAAAGAAGTTGGAATTCGAGTTTCCGAGAGAAAATTAAGTCTTGCATTGGGGGACGTCTTCGGCCGGAGGGCCTTTTCATTGTTCCTATTTTCTACTTCGGGGCGTCAAGGCTGCATGGCGAAATGTCCGCTGCTATAAACATGCCTTGCGAAAATGCGACATTGCGAAACTCATGTCTAGAAGCTTGCAAGAGACAAATTAGGCTTTGCGTTGGGGGGAAAGAACGCTGTACTCGGACTAGTCTCTAATGTGCTTCCTTATGTCATGGAGCTTGCCTATGAAGAAGATGCTTTGCTGCAAAAGAACTAAGAACATCTAAGAAGGTGCCTTGAGAAAGACTTTGGAAGTTCGAGCTTCCGAAAGAAACTTAGGTTTTGCGTTGGGGGACGTCTTCGGCCGGAGGGCCTTCTCATTGTTTCTATTCCCTTTGCGCTGCATGGCGAAAGGCTTGTTGCCCTAAAGATACAGTGCAAAGGTCAGATCTAGAAGCTTCACAGCGAAAAATCAGGTTTTGCGCTGGGGGATGGTTTGGAAGAGTTCGGAATGAAGCCAAGGAGCCTGGGAGACTCTCGGAATGAAGCCAAAGGGTCTGGGAGAAGCGAATCAGGCTCAGAAAACGTCCGGGAAAAGCCCAAAAAATGGACTGGGGAGAAACCCAGAAATGGTCCGGTCGAGGGGACAAAGGAAAAGAACTGGTCTGGGAGAAGTGTCAGAATGGCCGGGCAAGCCCCGAAACCCTCAGAAATTGTAAAGCAAAGGCCAAAGGTTTCCACACACAGACCCAAATAGCCAGAGAGCAAGCTGGCAAGGACTGGTGGTCTAGCTCAAAAATTTATCTCCAGGTCGAAGACCAGGCCTCTACCGGCGGAGAGGCGGGCAGCTCGTCTGGCTGCAAGTGAAGACCAGCAGCAACCCACGCCGTCAGGCAGTGGCCGAAAAGGAGATTGGAGCTACTACCGGCAATATTCCACGCCTTATGGCAGTGAAGTTCCTCACAGACGCGGTGGGACAATGATGCCTACCAGCCTCATGCAGCTGCTTCTCCCGCGTTCCAGGGCGGTGGTTATTGGACAGGAAAGGGTCCCAAGCCACGCAGCCCCCCACAGTCAAGGCGAAAAGAAAGCCAAGATGGGTCTTCAGCTCATGAAGAAGAACAGGACGAGACTCCCGACCCTTCGGAGCCCGTCCGACTCAAAGAAAGAGCTGTGGTCGTGAAGGAAGAGCAGCAAGCCTCTTTGGAGGAGGAGCTTGCGGAAAGAGCTGCGGAAGCAGATGGGGCCGAGGTTGAGTTCAGCGATGAGTCAGATAATGACTGGATAAACACGGGCGCTTTGCCTAGGACTGGCCCAACAAAGCCGCAAAAGGCCCCGGACCAGGCGCCGATGGTTTGGGCCTTGGCTCGGGCAAACCGGAAAAAGGCGATCCTCCCTCACCACTTTCTGCCGCCGCAAATTACCGTCTACAAAGACTCGGAGAGCAGAATGTTGGAGGAACCCTTGGTGGTCAGCAGTTGGGGCAAGGGACAGACGAGGGTGGCCTACACCGTAGGTGACCAGCACGTCTTGAAGTTGACCACCGATAGTGATGCTCATGGCGAAGGGCGTTACTTTGCCGGCCAGTTCAAGGAAATGGCGGCTCAGGTGGTTGGACTCCGATCTGTCCGTACCCACCTGCGGTTTGGCGATGGCACCACGGAGGAGCTCGACTTGGCAGGGTTATTCAGGAAAGACTCCACTTGCTCCGGCACTGGATCCGGTTGTGGAAAGGAAGCCTTTCCAGCCAGGCCAAAACGGCCCTGGGCTACTATGTCTTGGGGTGTTTGGCCGCAAGCCTCCACAGTGGGGTCAAGCCCCGGGACTATGGGACCTCGAATTTGGGGGTGCGAAGTTTGGATGAGGAAGTCCCTCGCTTGTGCTTCTTCGACTTCGCCACCTACGAGAGGTTGTCCAGGAGGGTTGAAAAGCTGAACCTCGAAAACCTAAAAAGGCACAGAAATGGTCTGGCAGAAGCCCAAAAGAAGCTCAGAAATGGCACAAAAAGGCTTCATTTTGAAGGTCAGAGTTTTGACCAAGGGGGGTCTCCAATGCTGTTTTGCTTTGAAAATGGAAAATACGACCCCCCCTTGACCAAAATTAGGCCGCGAAAAGGTCGCGTGGCCCAGTTGGGGCGTTCGAAGCTTTTGGAGGCTGCTTGGCTCCTGCAAAGCAAGCTTCCCGACATCCTTAACCGGAAGGTTAAGCCTTTAGCAGCCAGGCTTTAGCCTTTAGCAGGCCAAGGGTTTGACCTTTAGCAGGCCAGGCCAGGTTCGCCTTTAGTAGCGAGGATTTAGCCAGGGTTTTAACAGCGGGGGTTTAGCCTTTAGCAGGCCAGGGTTTAGCCTTTAGCAGCGAGGGTTGAGCCTTTAGCAGCGAGGGTTTAGGGGACACCTCGTGCGAGCAAAGGCTCGGTTTTCGGGTAATAATATTTACTAGGGACTATGCTTGGCGACCAAGCTAGGCGACCCCTTCAGGGGTGTGCCTGCAGGCCCGATCAGCCTAGCTCGGGCCTGCGTGGTACTGCGCCCACTCACCTCTAGAAGGAGAGGTGGTGGGCGGGTTTAGGGTTTAGGGTTTAGGGTTTAGGGTTTAGGGTTCAGCATCTCAAGTTCGAGCATTTACTAGGCCAGCAGTGTGTGTAGGCAACGGAAAGAACCCACCCATAACATTACGACAATAGAAAGTGTATTCTTTGTTCGTGTTGAACAAGTGGGGTTAAAGGCGTCAGAGAGCCAGAATGGAACAAATTCCCAAATTCGTGCTGAACAATGGGGGGGTCAAAGGGGTCAGACGGGCCAAAATGGATCAAATTCCCTAATTCGTGCTGAACAATGGGGGGGGGTCAGAGGGGTCAGAGGGGCCAAAATGGATCAAAATTCCTTAATTCGTGCTGAACAATGGGGGGTCAGAGGGGCAAAAATGGATCAAATTCCCAAATTCGTGCTGAACAATGGGGGGGTAAAAGGGGTCAGAGGGCCAGAATTGAGAGGGCCAGAGAAATCTGGAAAATGAGGGGGTCATTTCTGCTATACAAATCTTATTTAGAACTTACTGGGAAGCGAGCATTCGTGCTGAGCAATGGGGTGTCAGAGGGGTCAGAAGGGCCAAAACGGATCAAACTCCCAAAATTGTGCTGAACACTGGGGGGTCAGAGGGGTCAGAGGGGCCAAAATGGATCAAATTCCCAAATTCGTGCTGAACAATGAGGGGGTCAAAGGGGTCAGAAGGGCCAAAATGGATCAAATTCCCAAATTCGTGCTGAACAATGGGGGGTCAGGGGGGTCAGAAGGGCCGAAATGGATCAAATTCCCAAATTCGTGCTGAACAATGGGGGGGTCAGAGGGGTCAGAGGGGCCAAAATGGATCAAATTCCCAAATTCGTGCTGAACAATGGGGGTCCGATTCCCAAATTCGTGTTTAACATTTAGGTTTATATGGTGCAGAGGTTTTGGGTTTTGGGTTTTGGGTAGGGTACCCCGCAGACCCTACGCTAGGCTTCGAGGTTCAGGCACAGGAGAGTGAACAAGAGGTTCCTAAGCTAAGCCTAAGCCCGCTCCCCCCGAACACAACACAATAGGCACCATGATAGGCGCTACAGGGGTTTGGGGCTTAAGAGTTTAGGGTTTAGGGTTTCGGGTCTAGGGTCTAGGGTTTAGGGTTTAGGAATTAGGGTTTAGGGTTTCGGGTTTCGGGTTTAGGGTTTAGGGTTTAGGGTTTAGGCTTCAGGGTGTTGCCTTTAAAGGGATCACAGCCTGGGCTGGGGTGATTTAGGGTTTAGGGTTGGGGGAGTCGGCCCCGGTAGCCGCCGTAGCCGCCTGAGATGTACGAAGTCGTGGTGCTGCCTGGCTCATAGGGTTTTAGGGTTTAGGGTTTAGGGTTTAGGGTTTAGGGTTTTGGAGCTTCTGATGCTTTCGGGGATTGCGGGTTTAGGGGGCTTCGGGGTTCGAAGCCAGAGGGTGAGGTGGGGGGAAGTGTAACCTAAACCCTAAACCCTAAACCCTAAACCCTAAACCCTAAACCCTAACCCTAAACCCTAAACCCTAGAACCTCCGGGCCTAGGCATGAGGCGACGTAGCCTGCAAGGATCTGCGGGCAGAAGCTGAGAAAGCTCGTTGCCAGGTAGAAGTTCACGATGTCGGCCTGTGTTGTAGGGCATAGGGTTCTCGGGGTTTGGGGCAAGTTTAGGGGCTTAGAGTTTAGGGTTTAGGGTGTAGGGTGTAGGGTTTAGGGTTTAGGGTTTCGGGGTTTGGGGTTGTAGGGGTGTTTAGGGGTTGGGTGCATTAGCTTTGGGATTGGGACGGATTGGGGGTTTCAGGCTTGTAGCGTTTGGGGTTTAGGGCAAGCCTGGGGTTTGGGTTTAGGGTTTTAAGGGATTCGGGGCATTGATCTTGGGATTGGGACGGATTTGCGGTTCCAGGCTTTGGGTTGTGAATTTCGGGGTGTTTACGCCGTCCCGGCGGTTCCGACCGGGGCGTGGGTTTGTCTGTCGTCCAGGAAGTATGAGCATAAACCCACACGACAAGGGACACACTGGGGATGTCCACCTCCCCTTAAACCCCAGGGCCCTTGGGACTTCTGTGCTGTACATGTGTACACGTGCCGTTTACCTGCATATTTTGCTGTCCGCCTGCCTGGGAAAGTTTGGGGTTTCAGGATGCCAGTTAGGAGTGACCGCCGTCGTACTTTCATCAAAGAACCTCTCCGGCCGTGCCCTGCAACGGAACCCAAGCGGCATGCGACAGCATTGACAGCAAGGGCAGACCCTTCGAAACCGCAAGTCCAAAAACAGCCGCGGCACAGGAAGCTGCGACATACCTTCATCGCAGCAGCCACGCGTGTAGAAGCCTGCGTTTAGTGAGCTTATGCGGGCTTGTGGTGCCCCAAACCCCCAACCCTGGCATTCATTAGCACCCAAGCTACAGAAACCCCGAAACCTGCGCCCTCTGACACTCACTCAATCTCAGTCTCACTCTCTCTCTCTCTCTGTCTCTCTCTTCTTCTACCCATACTTCTCGCTACGTCAGAGTGACACTTCTCCTCCCCCCCCGCCCCACCCTGCCGGTGGGCGCGTTATATTTTGCCTATCGGCTTTGAGAGTCTCTCTGAGAGAGCGAAGCAAAACCGTGCGATCAGTCACGCCCCCTGCCCCCAGGCACTTCTTAGTATCAATGGTGCATGCACCCCCTTTCGAGTCGCTGCCGCAGGCAAAGGGCCCTGCTATGTCTTTGAGCCCTGTACTTACCATCCCCCGGGAGTGGGCCGACGCAAACTCTTCCACCCGGCAGAGGTGCGGGAAGGATCGGACTTTGGGGCGGGGGGCTTGCCTCATTCTGTTGAAGGAGTGCTTGGCCCCCTTCTCACTGCTGGGGGTGTCAAACCCACAGCCCTTCAGCCCCGAGACATGGCAACCTTTGATTTCAGCTGGCTGCGGCCGAAAAGCAGTTCTCCATCTCGCCGGCCAACTGGGCGGTCGGTTGGGGAGGATCAACATTAACACCTAAACCCTAAACCCTTCGTTTAGGAGACAGCGCATGGGCGAGAAACAAAAAGCTTCTGTCTTATTTCTTCTCTGGTCCTCGCGCTGAGGTCGCGGCCATGCAGACACTGTACTGCTCGCTCCACGTCAAGTTGCTCGTATCATTCCTCACACGGCATCAGGGGGTATACGTGAGACTATTAGCTTGGGGGTCCATGAGGTCTTGTTTTGCTTGTGTTTTCTTTTCTCCATGGGGGGGGCTGTTCAGCATGCTCTGCCTTCTGGGGCACCCTGAAAAACCACACGGCTTGGGGAGTAAAGGGTACTCTTTGGCAAGACGTTCCGTCTTCACTTTGAGGCGGCAAGAGCAATTGAGGGCCTAGGGCTTAACCTCTAAACCCAAAAAAGCCCTCAACCCAAAGCAGCCTCAGGCCTCAGGCCTTAAGCTCTGAGACCCAGCGGCAGCATGCCGAAGTACTGGCTGGCGTTGGCGACGAGGGCGTCACAGTCGCTGAGGGTGGAACAGTCCTTGGGCTTAGGCCCTAGACGCAAAAGCCTCTAGAACCGTACAGGATTTCGAGTTGAACGTCTAGTCACATTGCAACGGCGGGAAGGTCCACACCCCTACAGTTGTAGGAATTCGGGTTTACAAGGATCTCAGGGTTAGGGTCCAGAGTCTGGGGTTCGCTGGCTGAGTTCTTTTGCAACCCTCTGTTGGACCTTCGTCTACCCTAAGCCCTAAACCCTAAACTCTGAACCGTCAATAGGTAGAGGCAACTTGGGAGTCTATGATCCCACGAGACTGCCCTAAGCACCATCAAGTAAGCAATATTCCTTTACCCGAATATGATGTGGGGATACATTCTGTGCACCCTGCCTGGCCCGCACATTTTCAAACTTAACGCCTTCATGGTTGAAAGTTTTTGGTTGAGAGCTTCGGGGGCTTGTTTTCGGGGATTCAAGGCTTTAGGGGTTGGGGGCTGTCAACACTGAGGTTTGGGGAACGTCCCCGCCTGGTAGCTCGTGCTGCCACCGTAACCGTCCTTCACGCGCAACAATGCTGCCGTGTTTTCACCCACCCTCGGTGTGGGGTTGTTAGACTTTAAACTAAACTCTTCTCCCCATATCCCAAGCCAGAGTATCCCCAAAGAGTCCCTGGAGCGCCCAACCCCAGAATATCCCCAAGAGCCACTGCCCCAGAGCATCCGCAGAGAATCCCAGCACTGCCCAAGAGAGACCCTGCAGTGCCCAACTTCCGAGTAGCCCCAAAGAATCGCGCCCCCAACCCCAGAGTATCCCCACCCCAGGGTGAGCCCGAAAGCTCCTTGCCTGCAGGGTGGGGTCGAAAGTAGAACCATTTTGTTGTTTCGATGGGGCTTCTGAGGGAACCGAGCCTGAAGGGCCGATACAAACCCCGCAGGCGACACCTCGCCACGCTCACCTTCACCTTGAAAACCCAGGAACTGTAACTACAAACTCCAAGTTTTAGCTATCCCCAGCCAGACTGGCATCCAGAAGCCCGGAAGGGAAGTGGATGGCCCATTTGGTCGTCGAGCTCGATGAAGGGTCTCAAGGCTTTAGGGTCTCCCTGCTGTATACGGCATCAGCCAACAAACAGCCTTTGTGTAATGAGGCCTGACTCCCCCATACACACACGCACACTCACTCACTCACTCACACGCCCACACACACACCTTGAAAGCCGAACACTGCAAGAACAAGCTCCTCAATTTCAAGTAGTTATAACTCTGCCCAGCTAAACCCCAAACCCTAAACCCTAAACCCCAAACCCCGAAACCCCAAACCCCAAACCCCAAACCCCAAACCCCAAACCCCAAAGCCCCAAGCCCCAAGCCCCAAGCCCCAAAACCCCAAGCCTCAAGCCCAAGGCTTTACTACTCTGGGCTTCGACTTCGAAGCTCAGCGGTTCAGGGTCGTCCTGGGTCGTGCTCCCGCTGCCAATGCTGCTGCCCAGGCCTCGTAGAGGAGGCGCAGGGCTTGTTGGCGTTTTGGGATTGCGGGCTTGGGGTGTATGGTTTCGGGTTTAGGGTTTAGGGTTGAGGGCGCTTGTTGGGACTCCGGGCCTTGGCATTTGTATTCGAAGCCAGGGCAGACCATGTAGAAGTCCATTCCCGCGTAGAAGCTCACGACGTCCGCCTGCGTTGTAAGGTGTAGGGTCTGCTGGATGTTAAGGGGCTCGGGGCGTTGTTTCTTTTGGGGATTGGGATCAGGTTGGCTTTCAATTTCGGGGGCTTGGGTAGGAGGGTCCAGGGTGTTCACGGAGGCGCACAACTTTGGGGGTCAAGAATCTAAGAAGTATGAGCGTCGAAGCGGCATAAGGAGAGACCCCCGAGACATGGTTCCCCCAATAAACCCCAAACCCTCACGGGAAAGCCGAAGCCCTATACCCCAAGCCCTAAAACCCTCAGCGGGAGGGGGATCTGGGTCTGGCCAGAACTGCACCATATACATTGTATATAGTCCCTTTCTACCTAAGTAGCCCCTACACTGACCCTAAAATTACCCCCCCCCCCCCCCCCCCAAGATCCCTTGTAAGGGTCCCCCTACCGATCAAAGAAGCTCCCCTGCAGCGAAACCCAGGTGGCGTGAGGGCAGACCCTTCGAAGCCGCAAGTCTCAAAATAGCCACGGCACCGGCAGGTTCATCATACCTTCATCGCAGCACCCCTGGACGTAGTAGCCTCCGTTTAACGGTTCATTGTTTAGGGTTTCGGGTTCGGGTCCGGGGTTTTGGGTTTCCCCCTCCCCCCCTCCTCCCCCCCGTCTGGTTCTCTTATAAGGGCCGGAACTCCTTGAGGGTCTCAGATCCGCTGGGCATCTCAGCTGGCTGCAGCCGAAGAGCAGTTCTCCAGCTCCTGGGTGACCTTAGGGTTCGCCCCCGGGCCAAAATCGACAAACCTTTCATATCTTACCTGGATGGGCTAATACACCCTAAACTCCCTTAGCAGGGCCCTTTCTAGGGTCGCTATGGGGATTCTATAGGGCCTAATAGCCCATGCTGGTACCTGGTCGCGTTGAGGTCGCGGCCGAGCAGAGATTCTGCGTTTCATTCTCCGTCAATCCGGTGCCATTCCTCACAGCAGCGATCGTTTCAAGCTATGTGAGACAATAAGCTTGAGGGTCGATGGGTGCTGTTTCTTGTTCTTGTTTATGTTTCTCCAGGGATTTTGTTCTGAACACTATGCCTTTCGGGGCATCCTTTCAACATACCATAGCACGGCCTTCGACGCCAACTACAGCCCTACTGAAACTACAGCCCGAACCCAACAAGACCCTGAACCCTATTTAAGCAAAGGGTGGGGGGAGCATTGCATCAACAGCGCATCAACTGAGAGTGGGTTCGAGTTGGCATCCTAGCAGGCTGCTTGCCAGATGCCGGGTCTCTGGGGTGCCAAAAGGGTTTGTTCTTGTGAGGTTGAGGGCACGAAAATCCTCATAAAGAACCTAAGTCCAGAAGTTAACCTGAAGGGGACCTCACGCCTCAGCCCTTAAGCCCTTAGACCCAGCGGCAGCATGCCGATGTAATAACTGGTCCAGCCGAGGGCGACGTCACAGGCGGAGATGTTGGAACATGCCTTGGGTTTAGACCCTCAACCCACAACCTATAACTATAACCCTAAACCGCATAGGTCTTCGAGTTTAGGTACGTCTGGGCGCATTGCAACTGCGGCGCGTCAACGCCCCTGCAGCTTTCGGATTCAGGTTTATGTTGAACCTTTTGGAAGCTCTCTTTTTGTAGTGGGAACTGGGATAGTCGATGATCCCGTGAGAGTGCCCAACGCACCCCGGAGACTCCGGCACCCATCAAGCAAGCAATGTTCCTGAAATTTAGCCCGAAGATGATTTGGGGAGTGCATTCTGTGCACCCTGCCTGGCCTAGAGCATTCTCCAATTCAATGAGTCCATGGTTGAAAGCTTGAGGTCGAGAGCTTCGCGATTTTGTTTCGGGGCTTCCAGGTTTTGGGGCTTCAGGCTGTGAGGCTTCGGGGAAGGTCCCTGCCTGGTAGCTCGTGCTGCCAGCGTCCTTCAGGCGCAACAGCCGCCGTGCTGTTTGTTTGTTGTCTTCATAGGGCTTCTGAGGGGACCGAGCCTAAAGAGCAAAAGTGAGGGGATCGGCCATTTAGGGCCGATACGAACCCTGCAAACGACACCTTGAATGTCCGAGTCTAGCCCACTAAGAGCTGGGCAGGCTTTATCGGCAGAAGTGGCATGCATAGCATGAACAGTCACAAAGGGCAAGCCTGTCGCATTCGTGTTGCTTAGGGTTGAGGATTCAGGGTTGAGAGGTCGAGGTTTACTGTAGGGCAATTGCTGGTTTGTGACTTGCAGTCAACCTACAAGTTCAACAGCCCCGAACCCGAATGGCCAAACATGCTAAACCAAAAGAAACCCTAGAAAACCCAGACTGGCACTCTAAAGCCCGGAAGGGAAGTGGACGGCCAATTGGTCGTCGAGCTCGATGTAGGTTCTTCAAGCTTTCGGGTCTCCATGCTCTACAGCATCAGACAACACTCTTGACAATGAAGCCCCATGCGCACACGCACGCTCACTCACTCACTCACGCACTCACTCACTCACACCTTGAAAACCCAGAACTGCAAGCACAAACTCCAAGTTTATGACTAAACCCTGCCCCGGCTCGTCCTGGGTTGTTGTGGCGGTGTAGTTGTAGTCCTGCAGCGCAACAGCAGCTCAGAGAGTGGGGCAACATCATATAGCTATTGGCAAGTGCCCAACCTAAACCCCGCAGGCGACACCTTGAACGTCCGCTTCTGAACCTACAAATATAAAATAGCCCCGAACCCGAATGGCCAAACCATGCTAAATAGACCCCCAGAAGACCCAGACTGGCATCCAGAAGCCCGGAAGGGAAGTGGATGGCCCATGTGGTCGTCGAGCTCGATGAAGGGTCTTAAGGCGTTAGGGTCTCCCTGCTGTATACGGCATCAGCCAACAAACAGCCTTTGTGTAATGAGGCCTGAAGCCCCCAGACACACACGCACACTCACTCACTCACACGCCCACACACACACCTTGAAAGCCGAACACTGCAAGAACAAGCTCCACAATTTCAAGTAGTTCTGACTCGGCCCAGCCCCGTCTCGACCTGGGTTGTCGTGGTGGTCCCCTGCAGCACAACAGCAGCTGCAGCTAAGACATGGTCGGGACCCCCCCACCCCACCCCCCTTTTCAACCTGAATGCTGAGACCCCACAGGCTTGGGCTTGGGCTTTACTACTTTGGGCTTCGACTTAGAAGCTCGGTTCAGGGTGGTCCTCGGGTTTAGCGGCTTAGCGTGCAAACCTCGAAGTGTCTCCTGGATACACCCAAGTCTGGGCCTCGCATATGGGGCTTAGTGTTCCACATGGCGCAGAAGCTGTGAAGGTTGGGATGCAGACCAGCGCTGAAAGCTTCGTGAAATGCGAAGAGCAGCTATGGCCCGATTGCGGAGGGCCATCTAAAACTTTTCTCCCACCCCACGCCGCCGGTTTTCCTTTTCGGCTTTAGGCCGAAACTCAAGTCAATTGCCTACTTCCAAAGCATGATTGGTCACAAAGACTCTTGGGCAAATGCGCTGCCCAGTGGCCCCTGGTCACTGGTCTCAGGAAGGTCCACGGGTCCTGAGAGGTTTCAGGGGGCTTCTGCCGCCAGTGAGGGTCCCAGGCAAAAGCTCTCCGAGCGGTGGCAGGCGCGCGAACGACCTGGCTCGGCTTGCACCATCGTGGTCGAGCGGCTTAAGCGCCGCCCACTCCCACTGTCGGAGGGCGGCCAAAGCGCTAAACCTGACGACCCTGTACCCTAAGCGGCGAACTGGCATGGTGTCAGGGATAGCGATGGGTGGATGTTTGGCCCGTCATCTCTACGCTGCTAAACGTGACAGCGGCCCGGCAGCGAAGAAGACGCAGTCTTGCTGCTGCTCCCCTTTCGGCACCCGGTACCATAGGTACCATAAGCCTTTCAGAATTCCCAATTCACACCACCCAAGGGTTTAAGGCTTAGAAAACAGACCTGCTTGCCCTTGTACGCAGGCAGCTCTCTAAACTCCAGTGCCTTTTTGGGTTCCTCTGATAAGGCGGGGCTTTCTATTGCGGGGGCGCCCCAAAAATCATTGAGAGAACTGACCATGAGTAGTTCGAGATCAGGGCAAAAAGGGGTTAGGGTTTACTGTTGCTATTTTGGGGCATAAGCGGGGCCTGGCATATGGCGACGTAGCCTGCAACGACCTGTGGGCAGAAGCTGAGATAGCTCGTTGCCACGTAGAAGTTCAAGATGTCGGCCTGTGTTGTAGGGCATAGGGTTCTCGGGGTTTGGGGCAAGTTTAGGGGTTTGGGGGGTGGCTTAGAGTTTAGGGTTTAGGGTGTAGGGTGTAGGGTTTAGGGTTTAGGGTTTCGGGGTTTGGGGTTTGGGGTTTGGGGTTGTACGGGCGTTTAGGGGTTCGGTGCATTAGCCTTGGGATTGGGACGGATTGGGGGTTAAGGGCGCGTCCAGGGGGTTCGACCCCGACGCTGCAACGGGCCCAACTCGGGATGTCCCGGCCCTCAAACTGGGGCCCAAGACCTTAAACCCAAAGCCCTGCGGAATAACCCTCTGAACATGGGACCTCTGTGTTGTACATGTGTGTCGCAGACAATCAATATCCCATCTCCATCTTCCACTGCAGCCTTTTACACTGTTTTTTGGAGAGTTTTGGGTGGCAGCAAGGAGCGATCGCATTCGTACCTTCAAGAACCCCCCCTGGACCGAATCAGCATGGGTATCAAGGGCAGGCACTTCAAAGCCACAAGTCCAAGCATAGCCACGGCACCGGAAGCTGCGTGATACCTTCATCACAGCAGCCGCGCGCGTAGAAGCCTGTGTTTAACAGGGGCCATAAATCTACATAAACCCCTACACCTGCGCTCTCACTTTAACTCTTTCTTTCGTTCATTCTGTCGTTCTTCCTATGTATCTTTCTCTTTCTCTTTATCGTTCTCTTTATCTTTCTCTTTATCTTTATCCTTCTCCTTCTCCTTCTCTTTCTCTTTCTCTTTCTCTCTCTGTCTCTCTTTCTCTTTCTCTTTATGTTTCTCTTTCTCTTTATCTTTCTCTTTCTCTGACTCTTTCTCTTTCTCTTTCTCTTTCTCTTTCTCTTTCTCTTTCTCTTTCTCTTTCTCTTTCTCTTTCTCTTTCTCTTTCTCTTTCTCTCTCTCTTTCTCTTTCTCTTTCTCTTTCTCTTTCTCTTTCTCTTTCTCTTTCTCTTTCTCTTTCTCTTTCTCTTTCTCTTTCTCTTTCTCTCTCTCTTTCTCTTTCTCTTTCTCTCTCTCTCTCTCTCTTTGATTTTATCTTTTTCTTTCTCTTTATCTTTATCTTTCTCTTTCTGTTTCTGATTCTCTTTGTCTCTCTCTCTCTCTCTCTCTCTCTCTTTCTCTCTCTTTTTTCTCCTTCTCTTTCTCTTTGTTTTTCTCTGTGTTTGTTATCTTTGCTTTTCTCTTTGCTTGTCTCTGTACTTCTTTCCTTCTTTCTTTATTTCTTTATCTCGTTATTTTGTTCTTTCGTTCTTTCTTTTTGGTCTTTCTTAATTTCTGTCTTTATTTCTTCATTCCCTCGTTCTTTCCTTCTTTATGTTTGCTTTATTTCGTTATTTCTTTTTTGTGTTATTTCTGTCTTTCTTTCTGTCTTTCTTTTTGTCTTTCTTTCTTTATTTCCTTCGTTCCTTTGTCTTTCTTTCTTTGTGTTTTCTTTCCTTATGTCTTTCTTTATTTCTTTCTTTCTTTCTTTCGTTTTCTTTCGTTTTCTTTCTTTCTTTCTTTCTTTCTTTCTTTCTTTCTTTCTTTCTTTCTTTCTTCCTTCCTTTCTTCCTTCCTTCCTTCCTTCCTTCCTTCCTTTCTTTCTTTCTTTCTTTCTTTCTTTCTTTTTTTTCTCTCTCTGTCTCTTTCTCTCTCTCTCTCTCTCTCTTTCTTTCTTCTACCCGACGAAAGGAGCCCCCCGCTGTGGCCGGTTTGCCTGGCCCCTCTTGAACCGCCCCGCTTTGGGGAGAGTGTGGTCTGCCTATTTCGCCTACTTCTTCCTACGTCAAAGTGGCGCTCCGCCCCCATTCTATTGGCGGATGTTGTGATTTTTGCCTATTGGCTTTAAGAGTCTCTCTGAGAGACCCCCGAGCACATCTTCGTATCAGCGGTGCATGCACCTCCTGCAAGTCGCTGCCGCAAACAAAGGGCCCTGCTATTTTTGTCTTTTAGCCCTGACCTTCTCGCAGCATTCCCCGGGAGTGGGCCGACGCAAACTTTTCCAGCCCCTCCCCCCCCGACGGCAGAGGCTCGGGAAAGATCGGCTCTCGCGCCCGTGACATTCCCCTACAACTGTGCATGTCAAACCTCAGCCCCCTACGCTCCGAGCCCTAGCAACCTTTCACTTCAGCTGGCTGCAGCCGAAGAGCAGTTCTCCATCTCGCTGGCCAACTGGGCGGTCGGTTGGGGAGGATTCACACCCAAACCCTCAACTTCGTTTAGGGTTCAGCACATGGGCGAGAAACAAAA